GGGAGCTGGTGACACGGGAGACCTTCACTGCCGAGCATCCACGCTGACAGGAAGATCTGCACAGCATAAATAGGCAGATCCGCTTTAAATTTGGCCCCATTTCGGGAAGTTCAGACCGCGCATGCGTCTCCAACGGGCAGTGATTTGCTGCCACTAGAGACCGCCTCCCTGCTTTGCCGGTGACTGCACTTGGCATAAAAGCAGGCTTACATACCTGCTCCGTAATCTGCAGGATGTTTTCTGGCCATTCAGCTCTCCACCCGGGAGGCTATCAGACCGGATCCCCCTGGCAGCAACCCGTGTGCCTCACCATCCATATTCCAGATGCCGTCCGTTCCTGTTGTAACAAGAAAGAGAACTGAGGTCCCTCGGCTGGTTGGGTGTCTTATACCTGGTAATGGGAGGATTTTCTATGTTAATTATATATTTCAGATGCTTGTCCCGAGGGAAGAGTACATCCCTATTGTACTGCCATCATATGTCAGGGAAAGTTAGATTGGGGATTAGGGCAGTAATGGCACAAGCTGCCCTGCATTAGGGTGTGATTGATTTTATGTATCTACCTGCATGCCTATTACAATAATGCACTGGAGACATTTTACATATGCCTGTACACTGATTATCCACCTGCCTCGTGCAGGTCCTCCTAGTGCTGCCATAACAGCTTTGATGTGTCGAGGCATGGACTACACAAGACTACTGAATGTGTCCTGTGGTATCTGGCACCAACACATTTAAATCCTGCAAGTTGCGAAGAGGGGCCTCCATGGATAAAATTGTGCACTGTGTGCACTGTGTGTTCTGACACCTTTCTATTGTGGCCAGCATTAAAGGGAAACAATAGTGTCGGATTGAGATTTGGGAACTTGGAGGCCAGAACAAGCATTTTAGGCTTGTTGTGGCAAGTGACCTTTAGTCCTGTCTACTAGCATACCTTTGTTTCATGTATTAAGTGTTTCATATTTTTAGTTGGATAGGGAATAAAAAATATATTTTAATTTAAAAAGTTTAAAAATATATGTTTACCTTAAATTACCCACGTCACCATGTTAACCTTTTTTTATTACACATTTTTTGTTATTTATATAACACCAACAAATTCCGCAGCTCTGTACATTACACGGAATACAGACAAATAATAAGCACATACGAATACAAAAGGCAGAACACCTTGACCCATGATATTACAATCTAGCATGTCTTATTATATTTACTGCTCTATTTGTTATAAACCTTGCTCTATATTAACATTGGTACTTATTCTCTTTGTCTCACAGTGCTGGTTAGTACTTTATATGACTTTTTTTTATTTAATATGTTAAATTATAAAATCTGTAGCTCTGTTTATATAAAAATTGTGTGGGGGGAAAATATGCGTTTATTGAGTCCATATAAGTATATTTTAAGAAAACATTAAGTAAAACAGTAAATACGTGTTTGTTTGCCTGTCTGTTTTAACTACAGGTTCATAGTTTAATAAATGTAAACCAAGATTGTTGAAGGAAATATTACATTTGACAGTAATGATTATTCCTCATTGCTTAATAACATAGAAAATGGCAATTATTATGGATTAAATGAAACCTGTTTGTTGCATTAACAGATTTCTGAGATTAAGACTAAAAATGTTCTAAAAAAGACTTTATGGATAATTATCTTGCAACCTTACTAAGCAATGCATTAGAATGAACCAATAAAATTGTTGAGTAAAATATGAAAATAACGTCGGCCGGTGGGCGTGACTGATCCCGCTCGCCGTGGAGTCCTAATGCGCATATGCGGCAATGCCAACTGGTCGACATGGCCACAAATGGGGGACATGAACACAAGTAGGCACATGGACTCGTGAGGGATGTTTGCCTTAAGCAGGGGTGCCCAAAAGGTAGATCCTCAGATGTTGTAGAACTACAACTCCATGCTGCTTTGCATGTCTTTTGAATGGCAAACCACCACGGAAACTGTAGTTTTAAAACATCTGGGGCTCTACCTTTTGGGCAACCATGCCTTAAAGGTTCAGGTTTCAGGCTTTTAAAAGGAAACTATAGTGCCAGGAAAGCAAACTTGTTTTCAATGCTTTCCTACGCAGAAAATCTGACGCTGGATGTCCTCATGCAGAGTGCGAGGATGTCCAGCATCAGATAATGGACCAAAAGTCAGTTTAAATTCCAGAAATACCTCTAGTAGCTGTCTGCTAGACGGCCACTAGAGGAGGAGTTAACCCTCAGAGGTAATTATTGCAGTTTATAAAAATTTCAATAATTACCACTGCAGGGTTAATGGCGATGGGAGTTTGCACCCAGACTACTTCAATCCTTTAAGCTGTACACAGATGTTTCAAAATTCTTGAGGGCATTGTTGCCATACAAACCGCCTTCAAAGTAGGGATCGACCGATTATCGGTTTTACCGATATAATCGGCCGATATTCGGTATTTTCGGCAGTATAGGTATCGGCCAATAGAGATACAGATATTGCCGATAATACCTCCCAGGACCGCCGGGCTTTTAATGAGGGGGCAGGCAGCAAGCGTTTACTCACCTCCCAGCAGCTCCTCCAGCTCCCCAGTGTAACTCTCGCGAGACCCGCGGCCGTCAGAGCGTTGCCATGGGTTACCTTGGCAATGCTCCGTGCCGCACGCTGGCCGCGAGACTTACACTGGGAAGCTGGAGGAGCTGCTGAGAGGTGAGTAAACGCTTGCCCCCTCACACACACACTCCATTATATACACTACACAAACACACTGTGTATATAATGCAGTGTGTTTGTATAGTGTGTTTATATAATGCAGTGTGTGTTTGTATAGTGTGTGTATATAATGCAGTGTTTGTGTAGTGTGTTTATATAATGCACACTACACACACACACACTATAAAAACACACTCTGCATTATATAAACACACTACATTCACTATACACACTACACAAATACACACTGTAACGGATCGCCTGGCACCCCGACTGGGTACCTCCATTGAAGGATACTCCTAGTGCTTCCTGAGGACTCCAAGCATTGCAGCAGACACCACAACCACCGAACCGGAGAAGCATTTGAATGCTCTCAAGCATATGAATGCTGTAGACAGTTGAATAGGAACCATACGAATAGGTTTACTCTCCTAGCAGTCAAACTGGAACAGCATACAATAAATCCTTCCCCCAATAATGAGACGACACTTCACTTTGAGGGTTAAAACAGGAACTCCCTGTACTGTCACATACAGTCTCTTTTATTCCCAATCCACAAACATAGTACAGCCCACAGGGCGTTACAAAACAGCCAATCAATCCATACAATACACCCAGACACTCCCACACAAAATCCTCCCCTCTGGCTGTGATATGATTACTGAACACAATGGGTAATCTAATTATCACAGCCAGAGAAATACAGTTTCATAAAACACATCACAGGGATCCCAAAACATGCAATAACCCCATAAACTGGGGGATCTGGGTGAACCACATATCCAAAATTCACCCAGATCCGTTCAGTACTTTGGAAGATACAGTTTAATGCAGATTCTGCAGAACATATACAGGCTAAATGAAAAACAATCACTGTATAATGTGTCCCCTGCTGTATAGTCCAAAACCACTGCACGATGTCTCTGTGCACTAAATACTGGCGAGATGGCACCGTGTTGAAAAGTCCAAACAGTGTCTGTGAGTTAAAATGGCCACCATCCATTGTTCTCACCATGTGCTCTGATACAGGAAATGGTGGCCACCCAGTAACTCCACAGTATGTCCCCAGATGGTTCTTAAAAGGGCCAGCAGCAGCACAACACAAATCCATTATGCCCAAATCATGTCTTTAAAGGGCAATACATCCCAGGGGCCATAGTCACATGGCAGGAGGCTGGCAACCAGGCTTCTCCAGTGCATAGTGGCGAGATTGGTTCCGCCACACACACACACACTCTGCATTCATTATATACACACACTACACACACTTTGTGTAAGTGAATGCTGTATATACTAAAGGGTGTGTGTGTGTGTAGTTTGTGTATATAATGAATGCAGAGTGTGTGTATTTGTGTAGTGTGTAGGTAGTGTGCGTAAAGTGAATGCAGTGTGTGTGTATAAAGTGAATGCTGTATATACTAAATGCACACACTGCATTCACTTTACGCACACTACCCACACCCTACACAAACACTTTGCTTTCATTATATACACACTACACAAACACACACTGCATCCACTACACAAAAACGCACACTACACAAACACACTGCATCCACAACACACACACTGCATCCACTACACACACTACACAAACACACACTGCATCCACTACAAATAGCATGTATATTTTGTGAATTTACCTTTAGAAATAGTTTTTATTTTCCAAAATGGTAAATGTACAGAATATCTGCAAATTGTATTGGCTATCGGCCTGAAAGTTCACAGAATATCGGTATCGGCTCTAAAAAAATTAAATATCGGTCGCTCCCTACTTCAAAGTCTATCTCCCCCTACTGGGACTTGCCGGTGTTGCGTTCTGCTTTTCAGCGAGCCCTTCTCAAGTCTTTTAAAAACATTACAATTATAATATTGATCCTGAAAACTGTGTTATTGGTGGCTCTTACAGCTGGTCGTAAGCTATGGCCTGGAAAGCAGAAAATGAAATGGTATTTACTGATGTTTTTGTTTTCCGGTGATGGGCCCTGGTAGCACTATGCTCCTTCCCAGTTTGTTTGAATTGATACAAACTGGGCGTAATCAGGCTATGGGGGAGGTAGAGCCAACTCTAGAGTTTTGCTGCCATGGCAGTGGTCATGCTATGCCATTGAGTGGTAGCTAACAATTAATTTAGTGCCACCGTTGGGGGCACGACATTTTAACTCCATGAAGCTAACTCTGGAATTGTGCGGCCATGCCTCATCACCAGGAATGGAAACCATAAATAAATCTGATCTAATTTTTTTCCTATTCCTCGGTCGAAAAAAGGTACATTCCAAAACAGAGAAATAGAATTTAAATAAATAGATCACACATTGTTATTTACCAATCAATGCCTTTATTCTGTTTAGAAAAATACATACTTTCAACTGCAGTGGCTAGTTCTGTTCAGTGCAAGTTAACATGCGTTGTAGGAGATTTTACAGTGTCTCCTACAGGTTTTATTTTGTTATTTGTAGTTATCAGATCAGTATCAAACAAATGCGCTGTCAGACAGACACTGACAGACACTCTCAGACAGTTTTGCTATATTTATTAAACATATATCTGCGATGAATGCAAATATATTGCTGTTAAAAATTATAAAGAGCATTTGTGTTTTAGTGGTATGATGAATAAAATACACATTTCTTATGAAAATTATAGCTTTTTAGCAATTTACTTGCATAAAAATTGTAAGAATATTAAAATAGGAATTAGTTATAAAATAGATCACATTATATTGTTATTCCTAAGGCTTTCAAGAATGCATCAAAATAGAATTTTAATATCCAGAGAATTTGGTTATTGGATTATTTGAAAATCTGTAATAAATAAAAAAAGAAAACATTTTAAATAAAAACATTTTTTAGAAAATTGTGAAAAGGTGCAAATTTGCCCTTTTTGCTGTGGGAGACAAGACACATTAATTTCGTAATATTTTTTCGTAACGTGACATTTCACAAGCACTTAAAGTAAAAATTAAAAAATCGTTGCTGCCATTCAGGTTTCTCATTGGATTTACAAAAAGCTGAAGTGCTCATGGTCCCATAAATGTCTACTATGATAAACATGCACATATGTTTAAAGGAACACCAAGCACCATTACAGCTTATTATAGTGGCTATGATGCGATTAGGCTATGAGCACATTCTCCCAGCTTTTCTCAAACTGTTTCAAATGATTTTCTTTCCAAATAGCATGTGCAATGTTAAGCTTAGAGTGCTAGACCAAATCACAAATCTGCACTAATTAATTCATAGAATTAGAAGAGTTGCAGTGATTCGATATGTGACTGCCTCATCGGAAGGTATAATATAGCAATTGAAGATCCTCACAATCATGTAAGCAGCTGAGGTGGAGTGTGTAGGGTTCTAGGAACCATTTTATTTGTTTTTGTGAAAGAGCCTGGACTGATGACTTAAAAAAACAAAAACAAATGCACCAATAGCCTAATAGAACCTGAACAGCTACAATAGGCCGGAATGCTCATAGAGTCCCTGTGTATGTTTATGACTATGATATCACTTGCTGCCAGAGATCAGTCGCTTTATGTTAGAAGCAACAGACAAGGTGGACAGTGCTAATGGGCAAGAGGGTTTTTGAATATCTTTATTTATTTTGTTTAAAAAAAAAAAAAAAAAATCAAACAAACAAGCATTTGGCATTTTATTCCCTATACGAGTGCCACCAATGCAGCTTGTAATTTTGTAGACATTGGATGGTTTGAAAAACATTATTGCTCCCAACCAGGTTTATACATAAGAAAGTGTTAGGAAGCACACTTGTCTGTAGTACTGGAGATAAGGATTATTTGCTAGAATATAAGCAGCTTGGTTTTCAAAGAGCTTTTATAGCATGTGCACAAGCCTATATACAGTACACGTCATTCCGGGCACATCAGCACAAAGGACAAGAAATCCCTTGTTACAAAAGTATTAGGGGCAAATTACACATGGCAAATTTAGTTTGGACCGGTTTGTCCAAATTAAATTCCTCTCACTTCACATCCGAACAAATCAATCTGTCCAGGATTTACCTGTGAAGTCTAATTCCATTAATAATTCATTTGGATGTGTATTAAAAATAATTTGATTTAGATGAACTGGTCTAAACTATTTTTTGCGCAAGTCTAGAGTAGCGTGCAAGTAATTCCCTACCTGACCAAGTTTGTGCTACAACTTTATACTTTTGTATAGTTGTGTAAGCCGATACATTCTTTGGGCATTGAGTGGTTAGTAGTTCATATACCATCTAGTATCTAAACACATCTTAATGATGATTCTAGAAATATCATAATTTCATGAAATAATTGCATTAAGCAATTGGGAATTGAATAAGTAAAGCTATACTTTGTACCTATAGGCATCCTCCCAAAATCAAGGTAGTATTATTGGTTTCCCTTATAATCCAACAAATGCATAAACACATATTTGCAGTCTAGAGGCAACACTAATGCACATCGTTGTACAACGGAGGATCAATGTTTTATAAGTTTTCAGCAGCTACCCCATCTGTTAAAAATCCCTGTAAGGTTTTGCACTCTAAAGCATGGGACCATAGTCCTGCAGTAGGCAATCTTATTAAAAAGCATTTGGACAGAAGCTCAAGGTCTCAATTGCAGAAAAGATATAGATTGCACAACTTTACTTCTACAATGGATCCAACAGAGTGGACCTGTCAACATTTCAATAGATTCGGAGTCTTTATCAAAGCGGGCTTGAGAAAGATACAATAAACACAAACGCATCAAAACATTGTCTGTTTGATGTTTAAAATAATACAATTTTAGGCTGTGTCTGAATTTGTATAGAAATATTACATACCTAAACTATTGTCAGGTGGTCCATGGTTGCAGAAGTTTTGTCATAACCCCACAGCAGTGTATGCAGCTTTACACTTTCATAGACTACTCAACTACTCAATTACAACAGTTGCAAATTCTAAGTGGTTTAGTCATTTTCAAAGCAAGTTGTGATACCAAATGTTGAAGTTTGCAAAATTTAGGAACCCAGCTTTTTGGCTCTGCACTCAATTTTGCAACTCTGCTCTCAACACGGCATAGCTCACTTAGAATAAACTTTTAAAGGTGTGTAAGTGCACAGAGTTTTTTTTTAAATGGAAGATTTTAGAACTGTGCAGCAGAAAACTAGAATTAGAGTTATGTATATACATCGTAAGAGCAACAGGAAAAACAATTAATTTAGTGCCACAGTTGGGGGCACGACATATTTTAACTCCATGCATTTCAAATCTTTCTGGCAAACAAAAGGAAACCAAACGGCTATCAAAAAAAAAAAAATGACATTTACATAATCAATACAATTTATATCAATTTCCAGTGGCCATAATTTAGAACATGAAGTTGGGTTCAGTGTTCATCGGACAGTAGTAAAGTCACAATCTTTTTGTAATAATTTGATGATGTATGCACCTTTTGTAAATGTCTGTGCATATATCCATGGATGGATGAACCAGCCTTGCAGAATCCATGTAAATTAAACGTTCAAATGCCAGAAAGGTGAGAAATGCATTTCACTCAAAAAGCTGAACTATGCCATTTACTTGGAATATGGACAACAGGAGAATAGAGACTGCACATGTTAAATACATTAAAATAAATATTTTGCACAATTAAGAGGGGATTTACTGAATGTGCAGAAGTCCTTAATGGACAATCTATTAAGTTTGGTTATTTCTGCTGTTATGCATCTTAAGGAATAGAACTGTGTTCTCATCCAATATTGAGTTACAAAGTACTCCTGCCTTTACATCCAACTGTTCAAATTATGAAATATCAGAAAAGATCCGTGTGTAGAATAAAAGGCACTAAGTAGTATTCTTCAAACCACAATTGGATGTCCTTTGTATGCTTTTGAACATGATTGTTAAATGAAGTTACAACCGACAGAGCGCAAGCTCTGGGGGGATGGGTGTTTTGCATCCATAAGCATGTAATGCCCGTATTAAACAAGGATAAAAGGTTTGTTCTTTTTTGCATGCAACCACTAAAAGAGAATCCAAAATGTCATCCTCTGTTATTAAACTATTATTAAGCTATTTAACACTTGATCATATATTTAGGGGCAGGGTCTAAAGAGACCCCTTTCTCTACATACAGGCAACATTATCATATATTGCCTCCTCCTTTTGAGGTTAGATATAATGTCTTCATATTGTAACAAGATGAAGTTGATAACAGATGTATCCTGTAACTGCTTGGTTTTGTAGTCTGTGTTTCTCTTGCTCATACAGAAGAGATATGCAAGCAGCCACAAGAACCTTTGTGTGATCACTTCTCTATCTAGAAGGCCAGAAACAAATTGCTTAGCCAAGGGCAGTTGACTTCTCCTCGGCGAACAGTGGTTGTGCTTTGAGCATGATTAGTTCATTGTTAATGCTTGTGTCTTCATGAAGTTTGCCCAGTCATCATTCATGATGTGTTCGTTTTGAGTAATATCCCCCGCAGATCCTCGGGAAGCTCCTGAATGATCGTATCTACATGGTCCTGGAGCTTTTCCAAAGTGTCTGCTTTCACTGGGAGATGCTCTCTCTCTGCCTGCACCTAATAAACGAAATAGTATTAATCCAATGGTCATAAAAACAAGACATATTGGCTAGCAGTGTGCACAGGATACAAAGAGAGGGGGGAGAGGCAGCTGCCAAAAACTAGCCATTTTGCCCTGTATGACCCAACCCCAATGACACTGTCCTGTTATTGTCAGTCCCCCATTGTCATTTTAACCCTGCAATGTAGAAATTGCAATATTTTCACTGTGGAGTTAACACACCTCTGGTGTGTCTTCCTGACACTCACTAAAGGCTCTTCTGTTGGAATAATGGAGTCAGTCTTTGCTATTCAATCAAATGCTTTCACAGTGAGCATTTGACTGGCACAGCATAATATTTGCAACACATGCACACTAATCTCCCAATAATTCTCAATGGAAAGCATTGGATTTGTTGACATCATAAAGATTGATTATATCAGTCCAGGAGGCGGGGCAGCTGCAGTGAGACTAGCGCACCGCAGGATACAAGGTAAGAAACGTATATTTGTAACCCTCTCATGTGGCCATACACTTAAACAGGTAGGGTGACATATCTAAAAAACGCTTATAATATCTGCAATTCTCTTGTCTGCTGTCTTTGCCAGCCATCACCTTCAAATCCATTCCAGACCACTTTATTTTTATTTGAAGGACTTTATAAGGCAAAGATTACATGTTAGGGGTAGTCGTCATTAGTGCAATCACAGTAGCAAAAGATAGACATCTCAGTACAGAAACATTAGACAAACATTGCACGTAGATAAACAATGTGCATCTAGCGAGACTAAGTGCCAACATGAGAGAAGCAATAGCTCATTACAAAAGGACTAGCAAAGGTGTAGAACGAAACATAAAAAGATACGACCAGTAGGGACAACAGCTTGGTCACTATAGCTCAATTAAGATCACGTGATATTGAAAAGCTGTATGGGGGAATGCGGGAAACAGGGTCCTGTAATCAGAGGCCTCTAGGGCTAAAGGGAAGTGGTAGAAGAAAAGGCTAATTCTTCTATGGATCATTCATCACAGAGTACCTACAAAACCCTAGTAAGGCCGATGTTTGTGCGTATTTATGTTTTTTCCTTCATGGATCTAGTCAGCTCTATTCCGGAGACCCATTGTTCTAATGTGGGTATCTGGAGCTGTCTCCAATAGGCGGCAATTAGGACATTAGCTTCGCCCAAAAGATTTTGTTTGTGTCCATCTGTGAAGGAATTTGGCCACCCCAGCAAAGTCTGTGAATGAGATAGTCTATGGGAGATTTTCATGATCGACTGCAAGGACTGTATAACCTGGTCCCAAAACAGTCGTATGCAGGGGCAGCTCCACCATATATATATTCAGTGGTACCAACCTATACCTTACATCTCCAGCATTTATCACTGACTGGGGGGAAGAGGGAGTGTAAAAGGGCAGATGTTCTGTAAAATCTAGTGTTTACTTTGTAGAAAGGTTTTTGCTTGATAGGATAATATGCATTTTTTTTTTCTTTCTTTCAAAACAAAGTTCAAATCTGCATGGGAAAGTTGTGTGCAGTTGTGTGCTCGTTGGTAGGCAGAGTGGAGAAATGTTGTGTTAATTTGGATCAGGCATTTATCTTAGAAGCCTCCCTGCGTTCTCTCTCTGTGGTCATTATATTAAAAGCTAGTCTATGGTGTGTGTTTGTTGCCCCACAATTATAAGTCTGAAATTAAATAAGCAAGGAGATGAATTGAAAATATCAACCAAAAAATAAAACATTGGTCTTAATTTGTATTTATACGTACCAATTTACTTTTTAGCTTTAAAACCAAATCTACTGCTTCAACCTCTGAATGTTTCTGCACCCAGATCAATAAGTCCTAGAGAAAACATAATAAGCCATATTTAGTCACTTCCAAATCATTTCACATGAATCAAACCGGTACATAAAAAGATGTTAGTTGACTTTTTGTGGAGGTGTTCTGAGGTGGAAGTTTGTTTAGCAACACTTTACTTTTAGAATACACTTTTTGTTATGTGTATTATAAAGGTATTTCTAAATATACTTCCACCTCAGAACATCCAAAAATATTAAATAAGGAGTCAGTCAGAAAAAGAGACGATGGATACCCTTGCAACCATCACAGAAATACTCCAATCACCTAAAGAACTTTAACTTGTTGAAGTGCTTTATGTGTGAACAGTGTATCCTCTTTTTTCCATTTTACAAAAGAGCAGATTTCAATATAAATGTATACTTATTTCATAATTTAACCTTGTTACACCCCTCTGGCTGTCAGACAACTGATCTGGTTTCTTCCTGATTTTGTTAGTTCAGTGGAGCTAAACTCAAGAAGCATCAATTGCTCAGCACCTGCCTTGCAGACTTCTCATTGAGCCGCTTTGGAAGTGTGTGATTAAACAGTCACAGAAAGACTAGGTGGGGCTAGAAGGAAAGAGCTTGTAAAGGGCGTAGACAAGAGATCTGCAGCTTCTGCAAGATGTGTTAAGATATACTCCCACCCCCTCACTCACTATTAAGAGCAGCACCATTAGCGACATTGACTGCATTCTCTCCAGCCTTACCCACGACTGGATGGACAACCAGGGGCATGCACAAAGTGCTTGACCTTCTGGAGGACAACAAGGTTAAATCTTTCCCTGACCTCCAGCAGCAATATCTCCTACCTCAAAGAGATATGTTTCTTTACCTTAGAGTAAAAAACATACTACTACCACACATGAGAGGAATGCAAGAGGCCCCAGAGGAGCCACCCCTACTAATCACCCTGGTTCTGTCACCTAAATTGAGGAAGCCATTGGCTATGTGCTACAACGCTCTCCTCGAGGGTCAGTCATGGGTAAACCAACCTATATGTTACATTGGGAAGAAGAAATGGGTCACCAATTTCCCGTGTCTAGCTGGCATGAGGCAATGACAAACACAAAAAGGGCCTCAAAGAGTCTCTCATTATGGGAGGCATATTGCAAAATCTCTATGAGATGGTACCTGGTTCCACATTATCACGTATTTACAAAGATTCAACTGAGCTATGTTGGCATTGTGGGAGGAGAGTAGGAACAATGCTGCACATGTTCTGGGAGTGCCCGTTATTGGGGACATACTGGACATCAATACGAGACCTAATATTCCGCACCACTAGTCTTCTCCTCCAACTACGGCCAGAACACTACCTATTGCACATGACCCCTGAGCTGACAATGCACCCACATAGAAAGGTGATAATCAATATACTTAGCGCAGGAAAGATCCTTCTAGTTCAAAACTGGAAAAGTACGAATATACCTACCATGGAGGCAGTGCGCTGTAGAGTGGGTGTGATTTGCTCCTATGAACTAATGGCTAGCAGAATGCAAGGCCAGGAAGACAGGCACGAAAGTGAGTGAGGAAGCTGGAGGCCCACACCGTGAGAGTAGGCAACCAAACATGGGAAGGCTCCCACTAAACTGTCAAATGTGAATGTAAATGGTACTGTAAATGGAACAATTAAATGCAATGGTGGAAATTAAAATTAATGGTGAACAATGGGATCTAAATGTAGATGTGCATATCTCTTAAATGGAATGTAATGCTAATTTACCTGCAAACCAAGAGCTGGCAGGGATAGGGGTCTCTGTGCCCCAGCCTCCTCATCCGCCTTCCCAACCTCCCTACCAGCCCAAATCTCCTTCCTGCTCCCCTGTTACCTATATACCGTAAAAGTAGATGCTATAACAGTCTATGCTGATACAATATACCAAAGCAATGAGCAGCAAAGAATGGGCAGGTACCCATTATCATGTATACTCACTATACAGGGAGTGCAGAATTATTAGGCAAGTTGTATTTTTGAGGATTAATTTTATTATTGAACAACAACCATGTTCTCAATGAACCCAAAAAACTCATTAATATCAAAGCTGAATATTTTTGGAAGTAGTTTTTAGTTTGTTTTTAGTTATAGCTATGTTAGGGGGATATCTGTGTGTGCAGGTGACTATTACTGTGCATAATTATTAGGCAACTTAACAAAAAACAAATATATACCCATTTCAATTATTTATTATTACCAGTGAAACCAATATAACATCTCAACATTCACAAATATACATTTCTGACATTCAAAAACAAAACAAAAACAAATCAGTGACCAATGTAGCCACCTTTCTTTGCAAGGACACTCAAAAGCCTGCCATCCATGGATTCTGTCAGTGTTTTGATCTGTTCACCATCAACATTGCGTGCAGCAGCAACCACAGCCTCCCAGACACTGTTCAGAGAGGTGTACTGTTTTCCCTCCTTGTAAATCTCACATTTGATGATGGACCACAGGTTCTCAATGGGGTTCAGATCAGGTGAACAAGGAGGCCATGTCATTAGATTTTCTTCTTTTATACCCTTTCTTGCCAGCCACGCTGTGGAGTACTTGGACGCGTGTGATGGAGCATTGTCCTGCATGAAAATCATGTTTTTCTTGAAGGATGCAGACTTCTTCCTGTACCACTGCTTGAAGAAGGTGTCTTCCAGGAACTGGCAGTAGGACTGGGAGTTGAGCTTGATTCCATCCTCAACCCGAAAAGGCCCCACAAGCTCATCTTTGATGATACCAGCCCAAACCAGTACTCCACCTCCACCTTGCTGGCGTCTGAGTCGGACTGGAGCTCTCTGCCCTTTACCAATCCAGCCACGGGCCCATCCATCTGGCCCATCAAGACTCACTCTCATTTCATCAGTCCATAAAACCTTAGAAAAATCAGTCTTGAGATATTTCTTGGCCCAGTCTTGACGTTTCAGCTTGTGTGTCTTGTTCAGTGGTGGTCGTCTTTCAGCCTTTCTTACCTTGGCCATGTCTCTGAGTATTGCACACCTTGTGCTTTTGGGCACTCCAGTGATGTTGCAGCTCTGAAATATGGCCAAACTGGTGGCAAGTGGCATCGTGGCAGCTGCACGCTTGACTTTTCTCAGTTCATGGGCAGTTATTTTGCGCCTTGGTTTTTCCACACGCTTCTTGCGACCCTGTTGACTATTTTGAATGAAACGCTTGATTGTTCGATGATCACGCTTCAGAAGCTTTGCAATTTTAAGAGTGCTGCATCCCTCTGCAAGATATCTCACTATTTTTGACTTTTCTGAGCCTGTCAAGTCCTTCTTTTGACCCATTTTGCCAAAGGAAAGGAAGTTGCCTAATAATTATGCACACCTGATATAGGGTGTTGATGTCATTAGACCACACCCCTTCTCATTACAGAGATGCACATCACCTAATATGCTTAATTGGTAGTAGGCTTTCGAGCCTATACAGCTTGGAGTAAGACAACATGCATAAAGAGGATGATGTGGTCAAAATACTCATTTGCCTAATAATTCTGCACTCCCTGTATAATAGACCACGTCAAACTGTTACTGTGTATTATCAAGCAACAATGTATGTACCTGACACTATCAGTTGGATGTATTGTATGATGCTATCCTGTTTACTTTAATAAAAAAACATATTTGAAAAAAAAAAAAAAAAAGATATACTCCCACCCATTTAAAAAAAATGCATAAATACAGGTTTTCATATGGGTGTATCTACTAAATAGAGATTTTATTAAAAAATTTTTAAACTAGGCAGTTCAGTGTCCTTTTAAAATGTCAGGAGATAGGCTTCCTACAGCTATCGTGGCGTAGCAAGCCAGTTGTTAACCTATGCACTAACAAAAATAAAGAATTATAAATAAAAACATTTTTTTTAAAATGGCAGGAGAAAATGTAAATGATCAAATAACCAAGTTTAAAAGTAGAATGATTTTATAGTGAATGAGATGAGAGTCAATCTAACAGACGAGAATAGTTAAACAAAATATATTTAAGCTGCACAAACACATACATTTTGGAACATTTATCTGTACAATTGACTCCAAATTATACAACTCAGAAAGTTATACAGGAAGAATGGTATCATCTGTAAACAAATAAAAACAAAGACACATAGTGCTTTCTGTATGCAAACAGTAAATTTACAATCAGTAGTCAAAGCCTGATCCGGCTCCCAACTTGTGAGTTTGATTCCACTTGCATTGATTGTTTACATACAGAAAGCACTATGTTTATTTTTGTTTTTTTACAGATGATACCATTCTTCATGTATACCTACATATAAGTATATCTTGTGTGCTCACTGTGGATTTAATACTTTTCAGTATTTGATTTTATGTTTTTTAGGTGGTAGGGAAATACTACATTTATTACACCCACTAATTATATACTACCATAATTTGAAGCGCCGACAACTCTTTTTTTCTTTTTATGCGGTTTGAAGCAGATAATGTGAAATGTCGCAATTTAGATCCTGCCACTCCTTCTGCAAACCACAGAGTCTAATTCTCCCAAACTGCCGTTTCCAAAATAATGTTTTCTTTTTCTGGGTGGGACTGCCAGATGGTAATTTTGGAGGAAGAACATGGGACAAGTCATATATTCTTGCCCAATAAGTGAATATTGTCAAACACTAACACACAAGGAAATTTTGTACTGTGCGATTTTCACTGACAGCAAATGCAAAAAGAAGAGGTTTACTCACAATGAAGGGCTGCTGGCAGATGGTACGAGGTAACATCATAGCTGGCGCTTAGCTGCCAATATCCCAGCATGTTTGGACTCAAGTTCATTGAGAATCAATTCTGAGAAACTAATTGGGGACTAAACTAGTGTGCTTAATGGGACGTTGAATGCAAGATTAAATGTGTAATATGTTGGCAATACAGAATGAAAATAAAGACCTTGAGGTGAAAATTTGCCAAAAGAGAGATCCCCAATTCTTGTAAATAAGCATCTTACAAACATGGTTTACCATTACCTCATTACAAAGTGCTTCTAAATGAAGTGCCTCAAGTTTCTGGGTCATCTCCTTCCGACGTAGCCTAAACCAACCTTCAAAGTTGGGTGAACGCAGAAAATGTCTATAAGAGGGGAAAATAAAAACAAGCAATTGATACATGAATAATTGTGTCATCTCTATCACAAAGCATTATCTAGTTCTATACTTATCTTTGCAGCTCTATGGTAAGTATACAGATCTCTAAATAAGCCTTATACTGGGGAAGCATTTATCACTTTATTTTCAAGCTTACAGCTTTTCTAATGGTGAATAACACAATGTCAAATATAGGATGGAAGAGAACAGCACATCAAAAGAATTATCTAAACAATAGTGCAATTTTGCACCTATTTTTACACAAAATCTGCATCAAAATAGCTAAATAGTAATTAGATCATTTTTCTATTTTGCCATTACTGGTGCAGAGGGATAGATTTGTTTTTTATAAATGAGTGCAGCATTAATTGCACCACTTTTTCTTTAAAAGCTTCCTTTATACAGGTGGTCCTCACTTTGCGACCTACCTGTTTTAAGATGGGTCGCACTTACGACCAGCTCTCTAGCGTGTGGATTCAAGGGATTCACCATGTTAGAGAACTGGTCTATGTTTTCCCCCGAACATATATTAGACGGATTCCCTGCTCTGGTGCGTATGTCTATGTTCGAGGAAATTTCCTTGAACACAGACAAGCGCACCAGATCAAGAAATCCATCAAATCTATGCATGCGTCTCACTTACCAACTAATTCGGTCTACGACCGGGTCATAAGAACGGAACCAGATCGGTAAGTAAGGAGCATCGGTATAACCAAATGTGTTTTGACATAATGGCAGTGTTAATTTTGGCAACAAATTTCAATTTAGTGTTAGTGTTTTGACTAAAAAGCTATTTTAATTTTAGTTGTATTTTAGTCATCTGAATTATTTTATGGTACATTATGGTACATTATAAATAGCCCCTCTTCCCCCAGAGCATTACATGCAAACCTTTCAATTAGGCCAAAATGTAACAATGTAAAATAAAGATTCATACTAATGATATGTACTTGGGCTAACACAAGATCACAAAACTGATCAAAAATGTCTCATATAGCCAAGAAAAATGATACATCCAAATATTTGCAGTAACTACTGTGGTTGCGCCTTGGCCTCTGGTGTACAGTCCCAGCCCAGTGAATAATTTAAAGGCATTTGATTTTATTTTTTCCTGCATGGTTTTGAGCATATTTTTTTCCGAGCTATAGGAGCTGATTTTAATCTGACTTTTTCCAATTTTGCAATTTGCTCATCAATAAACTTATTGACGTGAATAAATCCTTAGCAACCGACCAACATGAGTTTTCAGACAGCATCGATCTAGATTGCATACTTCAAAAAGACTGCCACAATTTTACTCATGTAACATATTTGAAACAATGAGCAAAAAGATTCTTACAAAGCTACAACACATTTACAACTCTGATTTATAAAATGGCAGTGCCTAATGAACTTTCATTGCTTTTGTATATACTATACACAAATTGAGATTAGAAAAAAGTAAACTAGGAGAGTCTACATGTTTAACTCCTAATATCCAGTCATTTCTTTGTCTAAAAATCTGCCACACTGCAATGATCATTCTGAAAGGCCAACATCTGAGCTCCAAGTGATTAATAGATCTGTTTAATGGCAATGAGGAGATCCAAGAAAAGGTTGCCCCCCCCACCCTTATTCGCAGATGGCTCGTGGGGTATGGTGGGACAAGCTTTTCTTGCAGGACAAAGAGCAGCTAAAATAGTGAATTAATACAACTGCTCTTTAAAACACCAAAGCCTGTGCATTGAATGATTATTGCAGAAACCATTTAAACACTGTAGATTAATGCACTGAAACAGCTCAGTCAAAACTTTAAAAGCTTGCAAATCTCTAAGTTTAAATAACCAAACATATGCAAGACACAAATAAGTAGAACAGTGTAAGAAATGGAAAAATAAATACTTGTAAAGTCCGATCCAGTCCCCTTTTAAGCGCGAGGTTAATTGAGGTCCTGTTTTCTCAAGGGTTTTCATGAACTCCTCCTGGCTGAAGGGTTTAAGCTGTGGAGGACTCTGAAGGACAAACATACAGTGTAAAAATGGCGACTCCAGCCCTTTGAGACTAAACATTTTTTTTTAAATGAATAATGCCTTAATGGGCATTATTTACTTAGTGACCACTTACAACAAAAATAAAAACCCTGTAAAAGGAATAGCTTACCTGGAATCTAGCACCAAGCGAAGCTCTCGTCGCTGTTCTCCATGTCTTACGTCCAGGGCCGGATTAACATAGGGGCTGATGGAGCTGCAGCTCCAGACCCAGGCCCATTGATTTAAAAAAACATTTTTATTATTATAATTGTTTTTACACACTACTCTTAGGGATTCCACCTGGCTGGTATTTTATTGGCACAGCCTGGCAGGTGCCGATATTGCATTCATACTGACAATACAAATGCTGTTTTTTTTCTCAATATAAACAGAGATTACGATGCAATACCAGCACTGGCCAGTAGGGGTCGCAGTGTGTGTGGAGAGAGGCAGGGATAGGAAGTTCCAGCATATCCCTACCTGCTTATCTCTACTCACTGATCCACAGGGGAGCAGCTACAGAGAGTCCAGACAGCAACTCCCACCCTGCAGAGACAGCCTACAGCTCAATAAAGTGAGGGATGTGGGGAAAGGCTGCAAGGAGACATACACTGAGACACTATAGGACATTGGGAGACATTATGACACAGACACTTGGGGCCACAGGGTCCCCATGTCTCCCAGTGTCCCCATGTCTCCCAACCAGTGTCCCCTAGTGCCCATATGTCTCCCAGTGCCCATATGTCTCCCAGCCAGTGTCCCTAGTGTCTGTGACCCTGGTGTCTCAGTGTCCCCATGTCTTCAAGTGTCCCGTAGTCTCCCAGTGTCCCTGGTGTCTCTGTGTCCCCAGGTCTCCCCTTGTTCCTAGTGACATGAGGACCCTGGAAAACATGGGGACAAAGACACATGGGAATACTGGGGGACACATGGAGACATGGGGCACTGATACCTGGGCTAATCGACATATGGGGACACTGAGTCATGAGTGCACTGGGAGACATGGGGACACAGACACTGGGAGACATGGGGACACTGGGAGACATTAGGACACTGGGACAGTGGGAGACTTGAGACACTGGGAACAATCCATCTATACAGCAGAATCAAACTAAGTAGCTTTTTCTTTTATGTCACTCCTTGTGATTTACATCATATGATGTCACCCATACATAATTAATTATGCAAATTAGTAAGGCAGGTATGTTTTTCCAAGAAAGGTGGCAACAATAACTACTTTTCACATACTCTTGCTTAAGAATTGAAACTTAAGAGGGATAGGAACAAAACTTGTGTGGACTGGCTGGCAATGAAATTAGTTAAGGTAATGCTGACTCTCTAACACTGTAACATGTTCCCTTTCTTCTACACTCACTACATACACCTTTTCTCTGTCCCAGACTATACACCAGGAGCTTCTGCCTGCTAGTAAGAAGGTAAGGAGACAAGTGTACCAGCAAGTGCTAGGGGACAGTCCTTAGAAAGCATTGCGCGAGCGCATCATTAGATGCATTTATGCCAAGTTATGGGTGCTGTCTGCATAGTATGCCCTTAGTTGGCCAGCTTGCATGATAGGCAGGCAGCCTGACATGCATTCATGCCAGGCTAGCCTTCCAATTCTTTGGGCAGACATGCCCCCTTTTTTGGGGCATGTTCACTCCTTTTGGCAGGTTACATGATTTGAGTCAGTGGCCCACACTTTTATCGTGCCCATTGACTTCTTGCTTGACTGAACACTGCTGTTAGGGGTTATGAATTTACTTGAAAGATGAAAACATAAATTAGAGAGAGATTAGCATAGGGTATGTGTTGTAGAGAGCTCCCAGAGCTACCTGCAAGGGAAGAAACTGAAAATGTCTTTCACCAGTGCACAGTGCAAGCTGATGACACGCAATTTTTGCACAGAATTGCCTTTAGGCAGACTGGAAACAGAAATGGTAAAAAAAAAACCCACTAGATTGTACACAAAACCAGACAATTAGTTATTCTCACACACTCACCTTCCAAGCAGATATGCTTTTTAGAAGCGGCATGAGCCCTGCCACATAGCGTTCCTGTCCATAGGGGAAACAATGGCAAAGATCAGACTATGCAGTATATGAGCTAACTGGATGAACTACAACATTGTGGTTATCAATGGGAAGACCACTGGGATTAATATTTTATCCAATGCACAAACTAATTCTCCAACTACTAACTCGTACAAGGTTATTTAAGAAAATGAGAATTGTCTGGAATTCAATTTTGAATTTAAATTTTAAGGCCAAATCTAGCTGGACTGGAAAAATTCTCCAAGTTAGCTATGCGTTGAGTTTGGATACTTTGATTTAAAAATCAGAAACTCACTCTGAATCCCTAACAATTCTCAGTTTAGTAGATAGCTCTGTGTGTTCGTAGATGGAGGATTAATTTAATAAATGTGTTAACGTACATGCTATGAATTAAAACCTGTTTAGGCTTTGTTACAGATCCTTGCAGGGTTATTCACTTAAACTCTGAATTTTAGTGAATTCAATAAGAATGGAAAAACGGAGGCCAAAAAGTCAATCAGGAAAAATTCTGTAACCCAGCCATAGTCACAATTTGGCTATTTTTGCCTCCGTCTCACCATTAGAACTTAAATTGTGAAAATGCTTAGTGCATATAAAACTGGTCTTATGAAATATCACCTACAGCATAGGGTTGAATGGGTAAGGCAGTGACTGAGTGACAGGCAACAGAGGGTTGTAGTTAATGGAATATATTCGAAGCTTGGACTTGTCACCAGTGGGGTACCTCAGGGATCTGTACTTGGACCCATTCTCTTTAATATTTCTATTAGTGATATTGGTCTTGATGGTAAGGTATGTCTTTTTGCTGATGATACTAAGATATGTAACAGGGTTGATGTTCCAGGAGGGATAAGCCAAATGGCAAATGATTTAGGTAAACTAGAAAAATGGTCAGAATTGTGGCAACTGACATTTAATGTGGATAAGTGCAAGATAATGCATCTTGGACGTAAAAACCCAAGGGCAGAGTACAGAATATTTGATAGAGTCCTAACCTCAACATATGAGGAAAGGGATTTAGGGGTGATTATTTCTGATGACTTAAAGGTAGGCAGACAATGTAATAGAGCAGCAGGAAATGCTAGCAGAATGCTTGGTTGTATAGGGAGAGGTATTAGCAGTAGAAAGAGGGAAGTGCTCATGCCATTGTACAGAACACTGGTGAGACCTCACTTGGAGTATTGTACACAGTACTGGAGACCGTATCTTCAGAAGGATATTGATACCTTAGAGAGGGTTCAGAGAAGGGCTACTAAACTGGTTCATGGATTGCGGGATAAAACTTACCAGGAAAGGTTAAAGGATCTTAACATGTATAGCTTGGAGGAAAGACGAGACAGGGGGGATATGATAGAAACATTTAAATATATAAAGGGAATCAACACAGTAAAGGAGGAGACTATATTTAAAAGAAGAAAAACTACCACAACAAGAGGACATAGTCTTACATTAGAGGGACAAAGGTTTAAAAATAATATCAGGAAGTATTACTTTACTGAGAGGGTAGTGGATGCATGGAATAGCCTTCCAGCTGAAGTGGTAGAGGTTAACACAGTAAAGGAGTTTAAGCATGCATGGCATAGGCATAAGGCTATCCTAACTGTAAGATAAGGCTAGGGACTAATGAAAGTATTTAGAAAATTGGGCAGACTAGATGGGCCGAATGGTTCTTATCTGCCGTCACATTCTATGTTTCTATGTTAAAACAATTAGTAAGTTAACTTTATGCCTAAAGCATTATTCACAATTAATCAGCAAACAATTTTGTTCACAAATATTTTAACCCCTTAAGGACACATGACATGTGTGACATGTCATGATTCCCTTTTATTCCAGAAGTTTGGTCCTTAAGGGGTTAAACACCAGCTAGTCACTGTACAAATGTTTCTTATCATAAGACACAAATTACAAAAGAAAAAAAAAATACAAAAAAACAGCCACTTGAGGCACTTCCTTTGAACGAGGACATTAAGCGTCTAGAAAATCATTGACTTTGGCACTGAAATCAGGCAAGTGAAAAAAAAGTAGTGTTTTTTTTTTTTTTAACCCTTCACACTGCCGGGGATGGAGGACACAGCGGGCTCCTATAGTGTTAGAAATACAGATTTGTATTCCTGCAAAGTGTTCCTTTAAACAATACATTACATTCAAGCCAAAAGCCTTAATTAAACACTAGTGCATGTACCCACGTACTAGAGGAATGATAAAGCTCTGGGTAAGCTCTAGAAAGTGCCTTCGTAGAATAGCATTCTGGGCCTCCAATGGACGCTTCTGTTGAACACCCTGAAAAACATTTAAAAACACTCGTTAAATCCCTGTAAATCTAAAACGTGATCAAGCTCCATACTTTACTTTTTTGTAATGAACTTATTTTCTTAAAAGAACAATATAGTGTTATGCATACAAAGCTGTATCCCTAACACTCTAGTGTCCATCTCCCACCCTCTCATTGCAATTAAAGTGTTAGATACCCTTTAAAACAGCACAGAGGTCCCTTGGCACTGGCTCCATCTCCTTCAATAACAGAGCAGAGGGAAAACCATTAGGCCTTCCCCACATGAATACACTGAATCAACGCTTTCCTAAGGGGATTTTAAGACACTGGATGTCCTCATGCAAAGCGTGAGGACATCCAGCGCCAATTCACAGAGTTAAACTCCATGAAACAGCAGGAAGCGCTTCCAGTGGCTGTCTGGTAAACAGCCACTAGAAGCAGTCCTAACACTGCAATATAAACATCTGAAACTGCAATGTTTTAGATTGCAGGATTAAAGGACCACTCTAGGCACCCAGACCACTTCAGCTTAATGAAGTGGTCTGGCTGCCAGGTCCAGTCAGGGTTAACCCATTTTTTTTTTTATAAACATAGCAGTTTCAGAGAAACTGCTATGTTTATAAATGGGTTAATCCAGCCCTCAAATCCTCTAGTGGCTGTCTCATTGACAGCCGCTAGAGGCACTTGCGTGATTCTCACTGTGAAAATCACAGTGAGAACACGCAAGCGTCCATAGGAAAGCATTGTAAATGCTTTCCTATGAGACCGGCTGAATGCGCGTGCAGCTCTTGCCGCACGTGCGCATTCAGCCGAAAGGGAGAAGGAGGAGGAGGATCGGAGGCGGTGAGCTCCCCGTCCGGCACTTTCCTCTCCCCAGAGCCGGGCGGGAGGGGGACCCTGAGGGTGGGGGCACCCTCATGGCACTATAGTGCAAGGAAAATGAGTATGTTTTCCTGGCACTATAGTGGTCCTTTAAGGGGACAGAGAGCTGAAGTGGTCTGGGTGCATATAGGGTCACTCTAAGTCTAAGAGAATTTTATCATTTCTGCTACTTTGGTCTATAAGTCTGAAATGTAGACCGCTGTAAGACGGATTTACAGAGTTTAGTAAGTAAACCCCATATTGTAGAATTGCTAAAACTCTCTCCCTACAGATTTGCACAGATGATGCGTGCCTGTCCCTGCGGAATCTGTCGCACAGAGATTTACATTGTGTTCTTGGCTGCAGACTGTATTCTCTGTGTTGAACAAACACGTAGCATGCATGGCAGAACTTTGACCAATGCTGACAGACAGAGGTTCCATCAAGGCTTACTGCAGTTATTCACCCTCCAGAAATAGATATGAATGTAACATTTCAATCTTGAAATAAATTTGACACTAATTTAGAGACAATGAAATGTATCCAATCTAAATATACACAAATGTCAATATGTTGTAACTTCCGTTAATGACTTGAACTGGTCTTTAAAGCTCTGACAAATCCATTCTCAAGATTTCCCTTTTTATCCCAACATTGTTTTATAAACGGCAGCTGTTCCCTGCAACATGAAGCAAGAATTGCTTTGTATATTAACGGACCATATGGCCCAGAGCAAATCTCTCCCATAAACCTATATTGCGTTTGTCTCAGATAACCCTTGCACTGCCATCAATGCCTACTCGACCCATTCCCTTTGTGACAACTCTGGTAAAAAGGAATCTCACTTCATACATGTAAAACGGTTAATACTCTGTAGATTACACCACTGATTAGTCTGGATACCTTTTTGACCGATTCACTGGTGCATTAGTCTCAATGATGAAAGTCAGTGAACAATATGTTATATCTGTGGAAGTGACAGCACATGATTACATGGATGCTGCTAATGATTAGGCTGATTACATTGCACTTACTCAGTTGGTTTTATTAGTGTGTTTAATTTATTTAAAGCAATAGCATAAGCAAGAAAAAGATTTAGTTTCCTTTAAAAAGATCTGTGAGATTCACTATATTACGTGTAGTATTGGAAAGTATAGCATAATAAATGTCCTGGTGTAAATCCTTTAAAGTTCCAATGATATCAGATGAACCAGCAAAGCCTAATGTTCATTAAAAGGGAAAACTGACAATCTGCTGTTATACCTGTACCAACACTAGTCTTCAATTTGGAGGCTTGGAGGGACACAATATGCACCCAGACCAACTAATTAAAGTGCCTGGGTGCAGTGTCCCAGCACCCTTAGTCCTGGAAAGGTAAGTATTGAGTTTTTTGATAAACTGCAATAATTACCTTTATGTGTTAACTCCACCTCTAGTGGCTTTTGGTCCCCTAACTGACCTATGCATGAGGACTTCCAGCATTGCCGGAATCTTTAATGCTTTCCTATGAGGAAATCCTAATGCGAGCGTGGCTATTTCTTCGCATGCGCATTAGGTCTCCCCCGCCGGCTGATGTGAGCAGAGGAGAAACAAAAGGTGGACCTGAGCAAGCGCCGACATTGGTGCTGAATCCAGGTAAGTGACAAAAGGGAGTTTTAACCCTTTCTGCATAACAGAGGGGGAGAGGTGGGCACTGCTGGGAGTTATTGTGACAGGATAACAGCATAGTTTTCCTGGCATTATAGCTTCCCTTTAAGCAGCCAATAAAAGTAGCGACATGGTTCGAATCAGTCACTTGTGGTCTTCACAGAGAATAATAGAAACTGCATTTTTAATAGGCATATTAAGGGTATCTAATTTTCATGCAAAAGTTGTTTATTATTTCTAATAAATACCATCTTTTTTTTTCAGTGCTAGTGTAACTAATTACACTGGTAAATGCCATTTTACCTGACTTTCACGCAATGCTAAAAAAGATTTACCGCTGGCCTCCAGTAGATTGAAGGGGATATTTCAATAATAAAACATTGGATTACCCAGAACAATTTACCTCAATGAGATATAGTGCATAGAATGTCCCTTACATAACTTAACATTTCTGGAAGGTGTGTGTATATATATATATATATATATATATATATAAAATGAATTGTATCAAAATACCTTCTGCAGCTGTTTGATAATCTCATCATCTCTGTTCAGGTACGGTTTGTAAGAGCTGTAAACACCTGCAAAAAATAAAAATATCTTAACATAAACCTTTATGACTGATGTTAAAATTACTGCTTGAGGGGGGCGGGGCCTAACCGTTGATCGGGCTGGTCGCACATGAAGAGAGCTCCGAGCAGAGATCCGTAAAAAAGCAACATCTTACGGAAAAACTACACCAAAATCGATATCCTGGGTGGCTTTCCGAGCTCTGAGAAACATTCTAAAACCATCTACGAATCGCGACCTACCAGCAGTTGGAAACGTGGGAGAAGTGGCCGATGTCCCTATGGGCAGCACTGCAGGACAGCGTTGATACAATCGGGACCCTCGTTCTCCCCCCTCAGCCGGTGGGGGTTATCCCGGCACAAGCACACAGGCTCTCCCTCCAGGCAAACCAATGTACCTGGTAACCCATCCGCCCCTGTGGCCTGTTCCCAGCCTCACTGCAGAAACTAAGATGGCGGCAGAGGACTCTGAAATCGCATCACGAGGCCTCCTGGCGACACTAGAAGAGTGGCTAGATGAGCTGTTCAGCAATTTCTGGCAGTAGCTGTGAGACAGGGGGGCACAGGCAAGGAGGGAGCAGAGGAGAGCGAGCAAGCGCCTACACAAGCCTCCGGACCCTCCTTCTCCCCCGGCAGACAAGCGTCGGACAAAGCCCATGGCTCCTAGCTCAGTGCGGCAGGAGAAGCAGACAACCAACTCAGACATCCGCTTGTTTCTCATGAGGTCCAGGGCTCGCAATCATTTACCGGGACAGAAGACCCAAGGGCTCAAAAGAAAACACACACACACACACACGAAAAACACCTCTTTCCGTGAGGAGCACACCTTCTCTCGAGGCCCTGTTCGCAAATGCAAGACTGACCAGAGCAGCAGGAATCGCCCATGAGCTCCTGGGACGGCCTGGAGCCAGAGGGACAAGCAATCACAGAACTATGTGCTTACAGCCCGCTGCCGCTGGTGGCTAGCACATGTGTGGGGTGAACTGTGGCAGGCTATACAGTATACCAACCTATTAGAGCATGTTATTAATGTTATCTTCACTCAGTTAAGCACCTTTATTCTACTCCCCTTCACATATATAGAGGCACCGTATCCTAGAGCAGAGCACGCACTCTGAGCAAGCGCCACTGACACATTAATCTCCCTCTTACAGCAGTATCATACAGAGGCCTGCCAAGTGAAGTCTATATCGTGTTGATTTTTCTTTATTGCATATACTTCCAATCATATGCCTACTAGCTAGACAAGTACTATAACTGTTTTTTCTCACATTATCCATGCCTATATCACTATGCTTGAGGTTAATATTGTAACGGACAAATAAGCATGTTTATTATATTTAAATGTACGCAGCCTTAAGACTCTTAGATGTACTTATCTTTATAATCTCTCCGTATTACATTTGCTCTTCGACTACAACATATTCCATTCAGACACGCATACCCTCTCAGACTGACACTCAAGTATTAACATTATAAAATTGTGCAGACCTAATCCTTGCCATGTTTGAGAATGTATGATGATTTACGCCTGTGACTGCTGTTGTGGCAACATGGGCTGCATGTTATAACTTGCACGACAAAAATAAAGAATTTAAAACTACTGCTTGAAAGTAAATCAATTACCTGGCTTTGAATCCAAGGTTTTAAGATTTTTCAACTTCTTAACCTTTACTTGTTTCGGAACATCTCCTATGTTTGTAAGAAAACAAACAAGATTTTAGAACTGTGGGCTTAGAAAGTGCTCTGTAAAAACATATCTACAGCTTATTGTAGTGGTTATGGAGCAAACAGACAGAGTAATATCACCCTTATCTGTGTCAAATCAGTCAAAGCCATGGCTCTCCTGGTCCTCTATTGTGGAACAGTTAACATGCAAGTGATCTATCGCATTTGCCCGTTGAAATCATGGCCAAAAGCACTTGTACAGAGATTAGACCAAAGTATAAGTCTATATATCAGCATTTAAAAAAAAAAAATAAGACTACTTCCTTTAATAAAATATCTATGATGTTTTGCAGATTATGGTACATGGGCTCACCACCAATGAGGCCAACAAAATTCAACCTTTGCCAGTTAAACACAAATACAAAATTTACCTGCAAGTTTGACATCCCCAATACGGATAATGTGGGGCCAATGCTGCAGAGTTTTAGCAAAAAATGGATTTGTAACTCCAAAGATGACAGATGGCCTAAAAAAGAAGTATAATAAAGTTCAAAATTAATACAAGCAGAACAAATGGAATTTAACATGAAAAGCAAAAATACACAATTTTTAAGGCCAAGCATTATAAATGCGTTCTAGAACACACATATATGAATCCCACCAACATAAAATACTTAAAGCGGCACTGTCATGCCAAAGTTGCCTTTCTTTAATCGATTCCTCTTCTCTCCATCTGTCAGGATCTGTTCTTCATTTCTTCCTGTCTGCTCTAATTTTCTTTAAAACATAAGACAAAGTAGGGACTATTTGTCTTATGGAGGTTTCCTACGCCTGACCACCTCTGACCAGCGGAGGAGCAAAGTGTGCTTTATTTGCGGTGGTCAGAGACATTTTCCCACAATTCTCACCTTTGATCCGTGATCTTGCGATGCTTCCTGTCAGTAACCTCCAAGAACAACGTAATGTGAAACTAACGAATTGCGTCCTAACAGAAAACAGTTTCTCCATTCGTGTTCGGAACGCAATTCGGCACTTTGTTCGGATCGGAATTTCATTCGAATTAATGAAACTCTGATCATATATGTGCCGCGGCTGCATCTTGCAGCTGCTTAGTAGATAACTCCCTAATTCCCACGGTATTAGGGAGTTATCAACCAAAAGGCTTTAAGACCTAAATTGGTCTTTCACCCAAATTTACTAATACTAAGTAAAGATTACTTTGTATTAGTAAATTTTGCCCATAGGAAACCTCCATAAGACAAGGAGTCCCTACTTTGTCTTATGTTTTAAAGAAAACTAGGTTAAACAGGAAGAAATGAAGAACAGATCCTGAGAGAGGGAGAGACGAGGAATCGATTAAAGAAAGGAAAGTTCGGCATGACAGTGCCGCTTTAAGTTGCAAAACTGTTGGTCAGATAACAGTAGAGACTGATCCAACATGGCAGCTGAGCCGGATAAAATAGGACATTTTCTCAAAATAAAAAATCCATATATATCATTTAAAATAAAGAGCATTTCAAGAGTCATTAAATGTAGTAAACGTTTAAAAAAATGAGAAGTGAAATTTTTAAGCGCTAAAATCACTTCATCTAACTCATTCAAACTGCTCCTGCTTCTCAGATCATAAGCACCAAATTGGAGGATTGTGGCGACTGTCATGCATTTGTCATATGTGACCAAGAGATGCATTTGATTGGACACAGATCATCGAACTTGGTGATCTCACAGGAGAAATATTGGGTTGCAGTGAAGAGTCTGTCACGGCACTAGATTATAAGTATGTTTATTTTTTTTCAAAAATGTTCTCTATTGAAGAATTTTTAAGACATCATAGAGAGATTGAATACACACAAATTCACAATGTCACAGGGAGCACATTCGCTTAACATAAAATGTCCTATCAGACATTGTGGTTTAATGGCCTTTGTTTACGTTTTCTATGGGAAAGTCAGTATTCTAAACTAGTAAAGGAACAAACAAATAAATTCTTTTTATTAGAATATATTCACATTGAAGACAAGGGAAACGTGATATTTTGTCACTTATTCTATTATTGACATCCCAGCAAAAAAAAAAAACCACACACACACACACAATAATAATGAGTCTATGCCTATAGGCAAGAAACCGTAGTAAATAAAATAGAGACACATTGTCTGTCTAGACAGAAGCAGTCTATTTCATGGTAAGTGCTACAAGGAAGAACATGGAAAACATCAAACAGCCAATCAGAACATAGCTAGGATACCTAGAGTCGGGCTTCCTCATTCCTCCCCATGCAGATTCTTATTTACCGTATATACTCGAGTATAAGCCGAGTTTTTCAGCACATTTTTTGTGCTGAAAAACCCCAACTCGGCTTATACTCGAGTCAGTGTCTGTATTATGGCAATTTACATTAATTTACATTGCCATAATACAGACTGGGGGCTGGCAGAGCTGTTACTTACCTCTCCTGCAGCTCCTGTCAGCTCCCTCCTCCTCCGCGCCGGTCCGGTCAGCACCTCGGTCAGCTCCCAGTGTAAGTCTCGCGAGAGCCGCGGGGTCATAGTGCGGCTCTCGCGAGACTTACAGTGTGAGCTGAGAGAAGAGCTGCACGGACCGGCGCGGAGGAGGAGAGAGCTGACAAGAGCTGCAGGAGAGGTAAGTAACAGCTCTGCCAGGCCCCCTCCTCCCCCACTGAACTGCCAATGCCACTGGACCACCAGGGAAGGAGAGCCCCCCTCCCTGCCATGTATCAAGCAGGGAGGGGGGACAATAAATAAATATATAAATATAAATAATAATAAAAAAATAATATAACAAAAAAAATTAAAATAATATTAATTTTTTTTTTTTTTTTTTTAAATGCCCACCCCCCACCAAGGCTCTGCAACACAAACACACTGCATCACACACCCTGCACTCATACACACACCCTGCACTCATACACACACCCACCCTGCATTCATACACACACACACACACACCCTGCACTCATACACACACCCTGCATTCATACACACACACACACACACCCTGCACTCATACACACACCCTGCATTCATACACACACCCTGCACTCATACACACACCCTGCACTCATACACACACCCTGCACTCATACACACACCCTGCACTCATACACACACCCTGCATTCATACACACACACTGCATTCATCATATACACACACTGTAAATAAATATTCAATTAATATAATTTTTTTAGGATCTAATTTTATTTAGAAATTTACCAGTAGCTGCTGCATTTCCCACCCTAGTCTTATACTCGAGTCAATACGTTTTCCCAGTTTTTTGGGGTAAAATTAGGGGCCTCGGCTTATATTCGGGTCGGCTTATACTCGAGTATATACGGTAATTCACATTACTGGATTTCTCTAAAATACACATTTTTACAGTAGTGAAATGTAATAATTTGCCAGAATGTGTTTTCCTTTGCATAAAATGTAATCATATTAGGAAATTACCAATTTGGAACACTCCAACCCCATAACCTGAGCTAATTTCTCTCAATGGACTGCCAGTGATAGACTCGGAGCGTCACCAGTCACTTTTAATTTATCACCAGCCGCTTGGCAAAATCTTCTACATAGAGAGGAAGGAAGTCAGATTTTTGGGCACCATTGAAAATCTGTTCAATCCATGAAGGTAAGACAGTTTCATGACATTCCTGCCCCTTTAACAAATTCAATGAACTGGCGGGAATATTCCTTTAAAATGGTGACAGAGCAGTCTTGGATATTGCCCAATCTAACTGAGAACACACAGTCTCTACAGTTACACAGTACAATAACAAACATTCATTAGACAGCTAAACAATAGAATAAAATAATGCTGGATCTAGCTTGTAATAAGTAGTGTACATAAATCTACTTACGGTGCCTGAGTGCGTGTGGTATATTCCTTGAATTCAGAGTCGTGGATAGTGAAATAAGGTCTGAAATCACTGCAATACTTCAACGGAGCAATGCACCTGCAAGTCAGGAACACATAGTTTAATATGGACAATTCTGTACCAATTCTTTATTAGTGACTTAATGATGAAGATTCCACTGGTTCCATCTTTTCTAGTCAGATTATAACAGACACACATAACATGGAAAAATTACAGAAACTGGCATTTCAAATTTAAAAAACAAAACAAACAAAAAACACTTCAAGTGGCACGATCACACACAAAAAATGTGTATTTCGTAAAGATAGAATCTTTCTGAAAAGTTCATTATGACTGAAATTCCAACCCAGTCAAGAAATATACAGAGACAAAGTAGAAACTACTTTGTCTCTGTATTTCTCCTCCACCTGACTCTTCTTGGCACAAGGCAGAGCTTGGTCTATGGAGGAATCCCCATAGACCTCAATGCTGTACTCTCGCGCATGTCAATACAGAGGATGACCACACCGGACCAAGATAGTGGCGCCCACAAGGGACAGGTTCAGGTACATAAACCACCTTTATCTGCCTCCCCTCAGCCACCGGACCCCCATCAGCAATGTCCCCATCGGTGGGGCAAAGGCCTAAAGCGGTGACAGTGTCACTTTAAGAAATTATGAAGTAAGCATGTCATCCACAGAACATATAAATAACTGGTTCATCTTCAGAAAGGAGTAGTTTATGCTGGAAAAATTAATTGGCCAATGCATAGCTTCTTACCAAGGGTCTTTGCAGCATCCAGGAGAGCTGGAAAACTGCTGCTTATGAGCTTTATTATACTGATTACATGTATAAATCACATTTAGATGGCATTATTTTAACACGAGGATTACACTGTCCATCACGAAAAAAAGAACTGAGAAGAAATATAACCATAATGTGACTTGTGCCAATGTAAAAAAATAAAAAATATATAAATAAAACTGTTAGCATCTCTCTAAGTATTGCCCCTTTTTCCCCCAGAAAAACACACTGTCAAATTTAGAGACATTGGAAAAGGAAAAGAGAAACTGAAAACTATTAGGGCAGAAAAAGTGATAGAAAGATTGATACTATTTAGTCAAATTGGGCCCCAAAAATGAAAAAACTGTCTGCAACATTTTGATAATTCTTCCCCAACATGTCTACTTAGATCCAACCAACCACAATCAAAAATCAAAACTCAACTGAAGCCCCTTTGTGTTTCGGCAGTACAATGACCTCAAACGTTACTAAGCAACCAGGGAGTTGTTTAGGGAAAAAAAAATATTAGAAGCAGCCAGGTCAATTTCCTGACCTAAATCAAACTAGCATTCCACTTGCTGAAGACACGACTGTAGAAAAAAGAAACAGAACAAGGCTGCAATACCAGCCCTGAAGATAACCGCTAAGGAACAAACGTTGCATGTGATGGCATTTATAAATTGCAGATATAATGCAATCATTTATTTATTTTATTTATAATTTCATTCATATGATCTGCAACCAAGTATCAGATGCACTTACTATGTTTAAGGTTATATAAATTTGGTTAGTCACTTTTGGGACTCTAACATGGAGAGGATATATATGCCAAAAAAAAAGTAAGAATTATAGTTTATGAATGTATCTTCAACTGTGTTAGCACACACTTTGCCATTGTTGAATATAAAATCCAATGTGGTAAAGTATAGAGCCAGGGTATCTAAACTAGTGTGTCAAAGTGCTGGACTACTCTGTAAATAAGCAATTAGAGGACAATATGAGGTAGCTCTGCATAAAAATATGGACTGAGAACAGATATGCCCACTCAGATTTCCTTGTTAATGTATCCTTATAACCCACTCTATAAATGCAACCACCCAAAAGACAGAGGACAACGTGTGATCAGAAATGCTGACCCATGCTTACCCAACAAGAGCTAAAACGGTTTCGGATGATTGTGAAGGGGAGGGCGCCATGACGACAAGAGGCTCGCCCAGTAGTACTAGCTCCCACAGTAACTGGATGTGGAAGAAGACTGGAGAGAAGCATCTAAAAATAGAGATATATCTTGTTACAAAGGGCATGGTGAGTAACCTAGGGATAGAAGTGGCATAATGTTTTTTATAATTAACCAAGGCAAAACAAGAACAATACAGGGGCACACTGCTAAATTTGGATTAAACTCCAAAGAAACCAAAGGGAACTTGCAAACTGAGGACTCCAAAAATGTATTTGTTACCATATGGGTTTTTAATGGAATGTTTTTGCAGGTTAAGTACACATTAAATTGTTCTTGCAGGTTACATGTCACACAGCAATACACAATAGTTCACATGTACACAATTGTTCTGTACATGGCAACTATAACATAGGAATATCAACAGTCTACAGACCTTTACTTGGCATACATTTGTTATTATGAGTCTCGGCCTGTGTGAGGTAACCTTGGCTTGAGTTGACTTTATGCCTAAACCTGTATTGTATCCTCACGTCTAAGTCTTAACCAGCAAATAGCCTAGTCAAAATTTGGTGTCCGGTACAGTGACAGAAATGTAAAGCGTTTGGAATGTGAATGTTAGATATTGGCCCCCATATGACCCTCAGCACGCAAGTCATTTGGGCATATGTAGTCCCTTTTATCAGCTCCCGAGGCCTCTCCATGGTGCAACTTCAAAAATTCCAGTTTACTCTAAATGTAGATGACATGCATTATTAGTAAAGGAAGAGCGGGGAGTTTTATGTGTCTAGGTGTTCTGGATCTCAGAGTGTAGATTAGTGTATATATAGGTATGGTGTCTTTGTCTTCTTGTGCACCGCTGTGCTGTAGATTATGACTGCAATCCTGCATAACATCAAGTTCAAGAGATATGTACACGGCACGGTACGAGGTACGTAAATAACAAATGTAACTATTACTAACACAATGTATGTGAAACCAGTAGACCCTAATTCTGTATTTGCTAGGACCAAGCAGGTGGTTGATGCGATTCTCAAATGTAACTGAATTTTATGACAATGCGATTTAATGTGATTTAACCCTGATCTTTTGGTTTAGACCCTTAGTTCATATGGGACTCCTTAACACAACTATCATTTTATTAAAGGAAAACATGTTTATAGTGATAAATCGCTATCTGAAGAACATGACCAGCTTCAGCATGCTTACCTGAAAATATCCACTTCATGAATGGTGGGTAAAGTAACAGAGATGTGCTCATCTGACTAGAATGTGATAGAGAAATGTATTAAAACATTGCAGGAAAGACCACAAGACATGTAATGATATATTAGGACCAACTAGACTAATCAATTTATCACAGTCATTTTACTTATTTGACCTTCAGGAGAGCCTTTGCACATCACAGCCATTTTTCAGTTTTTTTACGACTTCCACTGGAAAGCTATTCCAGGTACCTACCCATTAAAGCAGTATTTTCACACATTGACATTGAACTTCTAGGCTGAAGTTTCAAATCATGCATTTTGATCTAGTACTAATTTTCTTCAAGCACTCTATGCACCACTTTTGTGGCCCTTCTTTAAATTCTTATAAAACGATGTAGAATTTTGACACCATGGTCTCAAGAACCTGAGCCTATGTTTAAAGAAAATTGTACATGTGATCTATAAAGCGATGGAAGTTTTTTTTCCACCTTCTGTTGATGCCTCTTATGGAACCACTGCAGAGATATACAAGGCACCACTAAAATCAATCGTGGACTATCAAACTGGCTCTAGACATGGCTAAGGAAGTCAAGTGTCAGATATCATTAAGACATTCATTAGCAGAAGAAAAATACAAGCACCTACATTTAGCATAGTATTGGAACATACAACCAGCTATTTTTAAAACCATACTGCAAACATGTATTTTTCTTCCCAAGCTGATATCATAAGTAGATAACTAGCTTCAATAATAGGCCATCCATAGACATGGACAGCATTAACGTCACAAACTTCAATGCGAATTCAAATTAAGGGTCAGAGCAGCTGAACAAGAAGCACAGCTGACAGATAAGGTTTGCAATTTGGCTATTTTGGTCTTGAATTTGAAATTAATTTTGAATCTTCACTTAGGTCTGTGGTCGGCAAGTTTCGTCACTCCAGACGTTGTGGACTACATCTCCCATAATGCTCTTACAACTATACTTGAACAGCATACGTTGACAGCACAATGAGGCAGAAAACATGAGAAATAATGAGTATTAATTTCACTTTGACTCCCCTAATGCATACAGGATCAAAGGATGGCTATTAGCCTGTCTCACCGGTTGTGTGAGCTCCAAGATTTGCGTTGTTCCAGGTTTATCGTGACGTGTTGGAATACGGACCTTAGAGGAGAAATGGTGATATGTTAGGCACTGTATATCATTATATAGTTTATTGGTGACCACAATAGGCTCTGGGATTAATATTCTTTTTTTGTTATTAATCTGGAACTCTAAGCAATGCAATTATTACAGGGTTGTAATTCTGCTGCCTGGTAGCCCTTGCCATCACTCGGTTTAATATCAAACTGTTCATTATAAATAAATAAATGCACTTGCATATTGGCTGCATTCATATCCAAGAATTAAAATTTCTGCATTATCAATGTCAATTTAGGCCAACTTGGTTGTGAGAGAGTTTGGACAAAATAAACAATAATGCAGAAGTGTTAATTGTGAACCATCAAAGCAGATGAGACAGGGGTCAGTCACTGAGCACCGAAATAGCTCTAGCTTACATCAGATGGTTCTTTAACAGTTTGATATTAAACAGAATAATGGTACCGGTGACTCTAAGCATCATGACCACAGCCAGGTGTAGTGGTTATGTTACTTAGAATGTTCATGTAATTCCCAGTGGCTAAGCAACACTAAAATCTACTTCCAAAAAATGTTCAGTTAGGTACATGCCTCCCACAGTGCTTGAGACTTAATCCCAGATTGATGTGGGTATGGGCACATGCATAGGAATCTGCAAATGAACATCAAATATTGTGCCATGTAAGCGGGCATCTCACGGACTGGCACACATGAGATTCATAACATTAAACACACACACCTCGCAGTTAACTGTGCTCTAACAACGTTCACTGAGTCTTGAAAAAAAATATATATATATTTTTTTTAAACAATTTCAAAAAACCCAAGACTGTTCTGTCACAGTCTGGCCTATAAAGTGTGTTTCAAATGTCCCAAGATTCATCAGGAAGAAATTATGCATGTGCTCATTCGAGGTGGCATTTGTGATTGCACTGAAATGCAATAGTGGTTATGGTGTTTGGAGTGTTCCGTTAATTTTATTTTTCGACAAACATTTTTTCAATATTCAAAATCCTGGTAAGTAGCAGCTCTCCTCTAACATAATTCAAAGACAGAAATCATTTTGTACAATTCTTTTTGCTGAATAAAATATATAGTCTGTTTTTATATATCTTTTCGTATTTGATAGGACTGTGCGCCAAAGACTTTCTCCAGGAGAAAACTCTGCACGAAAAGATATTTTGCTTACCTTTATTACAATTCCCATAATTGGCAGGTTTAATATCTTCCCTGGCAGAGGTTCTGCCCATCGGTCGATGTCACTGCAGGCTATAAAATAAAATGAAAACATAACCAGCCTGAATGAATAAACTGTTAATATTAAAGTGGTAGGCACTCAAACACTGTAACAAAAGTGACCTTGTGTGCAACAAGAGTGATGCACAAAGAGGTCTGCCGAATGCTTCTCTATTTGGAAAAATCGTAAACATCTCACATTAGAAGGACTGGGCTGCAATGAGGAATCTAATTGCAATTGTAAATGTTTGTTTTTAAGAAGAGTACAGTAATTTAATATGTTTTTAGATTATTTTTGTTAAATAAATCATGACATGGTGTAAGAAGTCATGTGTTGTTCAATGAGCTGAAGTGGTCTGGGTGCCTACAGTGTCCCTCCTGCTTTGTCCCTTTTGCACCTAGTGCTGCAATGTAGTGCATTGCAGTTCCAGAGAACTGCAATGTTTACATTGCAGCTCTAAGTCTGCCCTCTCTGGATGTCTAACAGACAGCCACTAGAGGGCTTCCGGAAGCCAAATGGACTTTTGGTCCGTTATCTGAAGCTGGACGTCCTCACGGACCTCCAGCGTCATATTTTCAAGAGGGTGTACTTTCTTTTTCCCATGACTGTATATTTTAACTAGTGTATTCCTTTAACTTGTGTGTATTTACATATACATCACACAAAATAATAAGCAAAACATTTATGATTAGATTTTTAAAGTGGAAAATCTCTTTCGAGATTAAAGTATCTGTTTATTTATTTATAGGTTAAGTAACGTGGCTGTTCATTTATAGCCCAAGAGGTCACATCTAAAGTCATTTCAGAGGCTCATCGGAAATCAATGAATCAGCAGTTTGCACACAGGAACAGAGTCCAATATTTGCTCAGGATGTGGCAGACTTGTCATTAAAGATGCCACGCAAATCACAGCCACGTTACAATCTTTGCAAAGCAGCCAGTACAGCAGTACTTTAAGGAATCTAACTATATGTAAACAAACCTATGAATGTCATTTGTGAGATAACTTTGTAATAATATTCTATTTGCAAATAAAGGATCCACGTTTTACGTAAAAGTGTTCTGTTGTGGATACCTATAGTTTAGTTGTAAAATTGTGTGTTTAACCCCTTTAAGGACTGAACACATGTTAAGCCTGACAACACATGGATTTGTATAAGGATGGGAAGAGTGGTTAAATCCATAAACTGAAAGCACCCAACATGAAAGATAAGGGTTAGTGTTTGCAAACAGTACCAGAAACAATGTAAACATAATGAAAAATATTCTTAGGATGCAGTTACAGGGTTGTTCCAACCAAAAAAAAACAAAAAACATGTAGACAAATCCTTCCTATCATTTAATCTTCTGAAAGCTACATGTAGAGAGTTTTTGTGATATGCACAGGCAAGCTCGATGCAATACATGTGGCACAAACACTCAAGCTGCCTGCGAAATGCAATTGTTCCTTACCTGCTTCTAAGCAGGGATCACTTCTCTCAAAATACTCAGGAGCGATCTGCTTCAGCACAGTGTGGAAAAAATTGATGTATGGAAGTTTGCTGATCAAAACTAGGGACTAAGTGAAAAAAGAGAACGGAAAAACAATGAAGTTATAAAGAGAAATACAGGACATAGCTAAAATAACATAAGTATTGCAACCAACATGACAAAAGGTATGTATATGAACACAAGTCATAATATCTAAAAGGATAGTTTGGTTCAATTCTCATTATGTGCCTTCAGGTACATATAGCTGAGCATGTTTATTCAATATATCTAAAACAGCAGCAAATTTGCAAATGCCACCAAAGGCAACATGTTTGCTCGGTGTGTGAGATGGCTGGTCAGAAAAGCTAAAAGAATATTATACCTACTCGAAATATACTTAAAACTTTGCAGTTGCCCTGTATATGTGGGATCTTAAAGATCCAGTAATATGTTCCCGATTACTGAACTCCAGACAAAAACTCTGCATAGAATTCTAGGTACACGAATGTTAACAAGCACTTATAATGTTTGGTTTCCTTTCTTCTCTGAAATCGCAGGCATCAGAAAAGGTATCTAGAAGGAAAACTTGGTTCTGATCTGATGCCTGTAATTCCCCTGGCAGGGCTCTAAGACAGAGAAGGTGAGGGTAGGTTAATGGAGTACAGAGCAAGAAAGAAGCAGGCTTAACACAGATTTTATACTATAAATTACCTTTTGAAAATAGCCCCTTTTTAAAGTCTTGTCTCTGACCTGTCGAAAATAGACGTAACCATAAAAACAGGCTGGATCTTTCTGCAAAAATAATAAGATACAAATGTATTAAAACAAAATAAATATGTATATAATTGTGTGTGTGTGTGTCTGTGTTATGTTCCCAAGACAAAAAAATATATATATTTCCGAACATTTTGCATACAAAAAATAAAATAAAAAATGATCGCATTAGATCACAAGCAAGTACAGAGTATCTCAGGTTGATACTATGCCCAGGAAATCTAGTAACAATTCAAGCAAAAAGAAAAGCATAACACCAAACAAATATCACAAAGGTATATTAACATACTAACAGACAAAAAAAATATTCCAGTTCAGAGTGCTGCAGTATTTCCTTTATTATAGCATAATACCTATATAGTCAATGCTTCGGTTCATCCTGTGAACTTTCATCAGGACATAAAAAGCTCCCTTTTCACCCCTGTCTTAATGTATATTTACTATCTTTTCATTCCTTCTGCAGGAGTTCCATTTTGTTCCCCTTTGTTAATGTCTGCAGTTTGCACTTTCGTGGGATTCTGTGATGGATTTGGACCATTACAGCTCTGAATGAACCGTGTTTATGCTCCATCCATTTCCAAAGATCAAGTTTAAAAAATAAATAAATTGTCCGTAGTTTTTCTTAGGTATATTGCAAGTAAATAAAAACTACTTGCTTTGAATAATTTTACAATGTTACCAAACTAATAATGTGACTTAGGTTTGAATCTACAACAGCAACATCTAACCAATCACAGGATTTTCACATCATTTATAAATGTACAATTAAATCAAATTATCTTATTTTCGTCTGCTCCAATATGATTTGAAGCTGCTATAAAGTAAGTTTTTTTTGCAAAGGAAATTAAAGAGTGTACATTAGTGCAGTTTGAAGCTAACAGACAGACCTTTAAATAAACAGGTGAATCTCTGTCTGTCTGATCGAGAACACAGTGCAGGGATGATTTCCTGCCTGCCGACTGACGAAATCTGAAGCAGAACTGAGTGTCTCCAAGACAACCTGGGAGGGAGATTAAAAATACAAGTTTTAGTCCCACCAATGCATGCCACCTCTTTGTAAATATGACAAGGGGGTTACTTTGTACTGTCATCAAATATGTATATAAAGTTAATTCAACATTTAATATTGTATCTAAGGGAACATCAGCACTGAAGTAGAAGCAAGTACAAAGTTTGCAATGAATTACAACAATTGCACGTGCCCCCAATGTTATGGGTGGCATTTCATGATGCGTGCAAGTTAGAGGATGTAACACTACACTTGGCACAATGGTAATTAATGGTTAAAGGCACAGACAGAACTGTTTAAACAAGTAAAAAAATTAAATTAAAACAAAATTTATAAACTTGTTCAGCATGGAGTTACAACGGACTAGGAAATATCCAATTTCAAGGTTGCAGCTCGATTGTTTTGTGGAAAATCATTAAAGGACCACTATAGTGCCAGGAAAACATACTCGTTTTCCTGGCACTATAGTGCCCTGAGGGTGCCCCCACCCTCAGGGACCCCCTCCCGCCCGGCTCTGGAAGGGGGAAAGGGTTAAAAACTTACCTTTCTCCAGCGCTGGGCGGAGAGCTCTCCTCCTTCTCTCCTCCTCCGTTCCTCCTCCTGGGCTGAATGCGCACGCGCGGCAAGAGCTGCGCGCGCATTCAGCCCGTCGCATAGGAAAGCATTTACAATGCTTTCCTATGGACGCTTGCGTGCTCTCACCGTGAAAATCACAGTGAGAAGCACGCAAGCGCCTCTAGTGGCTGTCAATGAGACAGCCACTAGAGGATTAGGGGGAAGGCTTAACCCATTCATAAACATAGCAGTTTCTCTGAAACTGCTATGTTTATAAAAAAATGGGTTAACCCTAGAATGACCTGGCACCCAGACCACTTCATTAAGCTGAAGTGGTCTGGGTGCCTAGAGTGGTCCTTTAAGGATAAAAACTCGATCCTGGCTATTAAAAAGGGAGTCTGGCTCACCAAACTATGCAATTGGCCTCTGTACTTTCAACTTTTTAAAATATTATTTAAACCGCCCTTGAGTTAACACAAGTGCTATTAGATCTTAAAGTATTAACCTCCTTCAAGTACAATGGGTCCTGTTGTATGCATTTTTAAAATTAAATATAAACCTGTCTCAGTACACGTTTGTTTAAAATAAAACAGTATACATAGATTTTATTACCTGAATTTGAGTCTGGGAAGGAAAGATAACAGATACTGGTTTTCTGCAAAAATAAATATAAATAAAGGAACAGGATTAAATGGAAAACTGAATCTTCCAATCATCTGTCTGTCCTCTAAAATGTGCCATATTATACAGCTTACAGGAGACCAGATGCTACAGTTGTGTACCTCTTTAAATATTTCAACAGCATTCATGAGGCTATAGGATTAAACAGACAATTCAGCGATTACATGAATATAAACATTTTTACATATAAACTATTAAAAGTAAATAAAGATAATAAAAAAAAAAAAACACAAACACCAAAACAAAAATTACACAGTTACATAGTTGTCTAGGTTGGAAAAAAGTATTACCATGAAGAAAATTCTTTTATGCATTTGATCCAACAGAAGGCAAAACAAATTGTAGCCATCTCCAATTACATCACAAAAGGGAGCCTCAGTAGAGCACTCAGTAGTGGACATGATGTCAGGAGATCCCAGTCGCCCCTGTCCCCCACATTAACGGTTTAACTTGTGTCCTCCTCCCTGTCTCCACTGCTGCCGATGGGAAACCGGACGCTCTTTGAGCTAAGCTCTGCAATGCAAAGCATAACTCATTAGGTAAGGGAGACTAGAACTAACAGAAGGTCCTGCTTAGGAGCTTACAACTCTCCATCAGCATTAATAGAGGCGTAAAGACACGAAGTCAAACTATGCATTTCAAAGAATAATGCATGAATTAGGATCTCTCATACCATGCAGTACAATGTTTGCAAACATGATCTGCTCAGGCAACATAAACCTTAATATCAGACTTTCATAATGAAAGTGTATTATTTAGGTTTATGTTGCTACAGTAGATCATATGTTCTATATTATTACTTATAATTCATATGATTATTAAAGCCCATTCAGGTAAAGAATCATTGTCACAACGGCATTGTGTCTCATGCTTGATGTGTGCTTCACTTACCTCTTTATCTGTTAGTTTAGCATTTGGAGGAAATAACGCCTAGGCAGGGGGAAAGTAAAAAGAATGAAATTAGCAAACAAGTCATCAATTGAATTTCTTTTTGCATTAAAATGGACAGTATCGTCACCAACATAAGTTTAGGTTAATGAAGCAGCTTTGTGGTATAGATCATGTCACTGTAGTCTCACTGCTCAATTCTCTGCCATTTAGGATTTAAATCACTTTTCTTATGCAGCCCTAATCAAACCTCGATACATGTGACTTCTACAGCTTTCCTAAACACTTTGTACATTCTGTTTATTGTAGAATTTCTTATCTCCCATTCTGTTAATAGCCTTCTGGATCCTGCAGAAGCCCCCTGTGTTTGATTAAAGTTCAACAAAGCAGGAGATAAAATGTCTAAAGCAAGTAGACATCTGATTGAAAATAAAACCTTTTTTTATGCAGGCTATGCAAGTCACAGCCAATGTGGCTAGAGCTGCATTGTCAGAAACAAAAGTGATTTAACGCATAAGCGGCATGATCTTAATACTAAAACTGCCACATTAAGCTAAAGATATTTTGATGCATTTTTTTTTATTTTTTTAAATCATACTTTATCCCCTTTTCTAAAGAACCACAGCGGCCATGTCAACGTATTAAACATTTTTTTTTTTTAATAAAATTTAAAATATTATATTCAATCACATGACTATATTAAAAAAAAAAGAAAAATAAATAGTGGGAAAAACCATGAGTTTTAAATTTAATTTATACTTTAAGTCCATCTCTATATCTCTAGTACCAGACAAAGGAAACCATTCTACTATTTTCTTATTTTGTTAATTTTGGAAGGGGGGAGAGTTTAAAAAAAATGGAAAAAACTTTCTTTAAAAGTCACTTTAAAACTCTATACTGTCTCCATAATACGAGTATTTGCCATGTATAGCTTGCACTTTTGACACAGCAGCAATTATCCTAGCAACTCAGATTTCACTTTCGCCCTCTCCCTGTTAAGAACAAATCAGAACAATCTGCTGACTTAGCACCAAGGAGAAAAGTGTATTCTAGATCTCCAAGGAAGAATTCCAATTTTCTTCCCAGCGATGAGCTGCCATGGAAATTTGTCTAGTTCATTTGGGTTCATCCAAACGGATTATCTTGTCCCCTTGTTATATCACTTGTGTTTGTTTAATGGATCTTACATAACATAGGTCTGCTGTAAAACCTACATCAGCATTGTTTACATAACCATTTTCAGTAGCTTTGCAGATATACCTAGGGAATTATTGTAGGAATGCAATGAAACTGGATTGGTACAATCTTGAAATTAAGCAGCTGAACACCCTGAGCATTGCCCACATTCAGCAATGTCATCTATTTCTCAAGTTTGCCCAAGTGGAACACATTGATGACTCAGAACTAAAACTGTGAAAGGCTTATTAACTACACAAGGGAATGTGGGGATTTCAAAGTGAAAGTCAAATTGTAGGTCAAAGTAGCTTAGGTGGAAAAAGTCTTCAGGCCAAATATAGTTTTCGGTTTGGCTATTTTTGTATAAAATTTGGAATTTATTTTGAATTCCCAACAATTCTCACGTTCGTAAATAACTTTTCCAAGCAGAGATGTAGGCGAATAGTCACGTCAATACTCAAAATTTTTAAAAATTGTGTTTTTTTTTTTTTTTTAAATGACTTTTTCAATCGAAACTTCAAAAACATTAAGAAATAAATAACTGTTGAGGTTTTGTGAATGCAGTAAGCAACTTTTCACAAGATTCCTGTTCTTAGTTATGACTCTGGTGCGACAAAGAAGAACATTTTCATATGTAATGCGATCTAATTGTGCAAAAAATATATAAAATACAGATGGTGGGTTATCTTCAGCATGGTAAACCTTGTACTTTGTATGATATTCAGGCAGTGACGTTAGAAAGTATCAAATCAATAAGTATATTAACCAATAAATTGGATTACTGGGGTTAATAACCTGATTGTATTATCACAGACTGAAAGAGGAATGGTTTACAGTTTCATATTGCAGCATAACATGCAGCAAAATATGGCCACGTCTCCGGTCTGTGAATGGAACCACCAATATTTATTCTATGAAACAGCGGCCGTACTGCTACATGCCGTGTAAAATAAACATGACTTTCTTTTCACTATACTGAGAAATGCCCGAATAATGAAGAAAAGAAGATCAGTCAAGCAATAAACGATAACCTGCTAACATTATTAGATTTAACCTCATGTGTGTCAGTGGTTTGGCCAATTGCAAGACATTAGTAGTTAGTTGGTTAAATTAGACAGATTTAAAAAAAAAAAAAAAAAAAATCACATTTATATCTCTGAAATTGTGGTACATATGTACCAAACAAACCATACAACGGCAATATTTAACCCAAAAATTGTTGTTGAAGTTGAATAGTTAGGCTTTTTTGGCCTAAAATGTGCACATTCCTATTCAATGCTAAACATTTCCTGATTTACTGACTGACCCTAAGAATTCGCAAAAATGAACGCTAAACTGGAAATAAATAAATAAATCACAATTTCTGGTATATTCCAAACTATATGGTTATACTTGCTGGGTAACTCCCCATTCACAAAACTGGTTTGGAAAGAAATGTCCCTTTTCCAAGCCAGTTTTGTGAATGGGGAGAAACTAATTGGCTGAGAGCATCCGCTGACTGCTCTCAGACAAGCAGCGGTGTCCCAACCCAGTAGCACTCTGTGCTTACTATAAGTGAAATTTCAGAAACCGGATGGGCCCGAGAAGGGGGGTGGGGGGAGCGTACATCACCGCTCGATGCAACTTAGGTGTTAAACTGTTTGAGAACTGTTTAACCCCTTGAGGTAAGAGTGGCCCCAGGGGCCTCCTGGCAATTTCATTTAGATGAAGTTGTTTTGGTGTCTGGAGTGTCTCTTTAAATTTAAGAAGAAAATGGAACATCACATGAAAAAAAAAAAAAAAAATGGTTAAAAGGATCACTCCATGCATAACCAACAACCGATCTAATAACTTTATTGCAATGAGATGTTATGGTGCATGGAAGTCCCGTGCAACAGTTTACCTGAAGTAGTTAACCTCGAACGTACGGCTTAATCCCAAAATATTAGATTAATTGCCAGTCAGTTCTGCCCCTTCACTTAATATCCAGTCCGAGGCTTCAATCAGGAAGCTTTGGACTGGGTGCAGAGGATAGGCTGAGAGCATCAGTTTATGCGACAGTGGCTAATAAGACAGTAAGTTATTTAAATAAAAATAGGGTTTTTTTTGTTTTGTTTTTATGCATTTGTGTAGATGAGATGCCACCAGTTTAATTTCAAAAGTGACAGTTCCCCTTTAACACTGTAAATTACCTTCACGGGAGGTGGGAATCTGTATAATGAATACTCATTTTGGACAGAAAAATAGGACATAAAGCTGTGACAACAATCACTGAATGGGTGAGCTTATAACTTTATCAACTTTTTGCTAATCACAGCCAGGAGAGAAACAGAAAACTACCTTTTTTCACAACATCCCTGTATGTAAGGAGCATTTTAGTAATAAGTGATCATTTTAATGATTGAGACTGTTAATTTATATTGATAATGATTTGAACCCTATATATATATATAAAAAGTAATAGTCTATGTAGGGATGCCTGACCTCTCCTAATTTATAAATAAATAAATAAAAAATAATTTTGCGTTCATTGATCAAGGCTAAGTACTGCCCAGTAATAATTGGTACATGCAGTCTAAATGAAGTCAGGGTGGATACTTAATTTTTAAAATGGGAGCAATTTAAATTACACACATCGCCAGAGAGCATCTTTAAGCACGGACACATCATCTGCAGTATTTATAAGCGTCCCACTTAAAATGGTTAATGTGGTAACCCTAGCCATAAAGAAAAGCCCCACAAAGGCTATGGCAGATGCTGAGCCTCTTTAGGGAGCACATTAAGGGCTGTAAATCACCCTTTGGTTTTCCAATGTGATTGGCCAGATTGCGTAATTAATTGAAGTCTGAAATTCTACAGCACCATTTGTCTGCAGACATAGGACTTCAATCATGGGGTGTCCATAGAATCCTGACAACAACAATGTCTGCTAACATTAAACCAGACACCAAGGGGAACCTTGAACAGAAATCAATGGCTACTTAATAATTCATGATTCTTAGCAAATTTTATACCCAGGAAAATCATGCAACACACAAGTTCAATTTCAATCTGTCGGCTGTGATTAATACAGTTTACTAATTGTAATATATCACAGGCACCTAGGCAAACAAAAAGACTGCATGCCAAGCATGCTAAATAGGGCAGTTTGGTTTTTCTCTAAACTAAACACCTTCACTATTAAAGTCGCTGGCTAGCAGAATGCATATTATACAACTGATGGCTCTCACAGGTTAATAAAACAGAATGGATGTGTTTCAATTTAAGAATACACCTACATAAAAAAAATTCTATACTTTATGTTAGATGATGAAGTTGGCTTCCTTATATTTGTATGAATCTCGGAGAGATAATGCATTAACAAAATAAATATTCTCTCTCTCTCTCTCTCTCTCTCTCTCACACCCAAACTGGCCATCGGGCAAACTGTGCAAATCCTCAATGGGCAGGGGTGACCATGGGCTGAGACCGACAGGGGACTTTAAAGTATTTCTCCTGCCGGCCCATCAATGGCACTGATGAGCTGGTTTGAGATTAAAGAAACACTATAATTTTAGGAATACAAACATGATGAGCACTGATGAGCTGGTTTGAGATTAAAGAAACACTATAATTTTAGGAATACAAACATGTATTACTGACACTAAAGTATTAAATAGCTGTTCAGTCCACCGGCTCCCCTTACATCAAGTTAAAAAGGTGATTTACTCCCCTTTTCTTTTTTTTTCTTTTTTTAAGCGCCAAGTGGATCTGGCTGTGGCCGGCACTGCCCCCTTGGCTGAGATCATCAAGCTTGATGATATCAGCCAATCCAATGCTTTCCCATAGGAAAGCATTGGGAGGCTATCGGGCATGCGCAGCAAAACGTCACGCTGCACCAAACAGCATCTCCATTTTGAAGCATATAGACTCTGAACACCAGTGCTGTTCATTGTGCAGCACTGACCTAGAAAGCACCTCTAGTGGCCGTCTGAGTGACTTTCACTAGAGGTGTCCCAAGACAGCAATGTACATTGAAAAAATGTACAGGGTATAGACACCAGAACCACTACATTAAGCTGTTGTTCTGGTGACTATAGTGTCCCTTTAAGTTACCTTCAGTGAACCATAATGCCAGGGAAAGAGAGCCATGTAGCCTCTGTTGTTCTGGTGATCTTTGATAATTTCAGAACACTGAAGTGCTAACCAGTGGAATCACTCTGTGAAGGGTCAGACAGAAAAACCATTGCTGACAACATACTCCTTGACCGGCTCCGGCCCCACTCCTATAGGTAGCATGGAGACACTGAACACAAGTGCTACACACTGAACTAGGAAGTACCTCTGACATTAGGGCTCACTGAAGATGACAATCTCCAACAGCCTCTTTTGGCTCAGTGCCATAAATGAGTCAGCAGGAGAGATCCTTTGATTTCCCCTGTCTGTCTCAGCCCATGACCATCACTGCCCTTTGGACATTTGCAAAGTTTGCCTGATTTATAGATTTATTTTGTTAGTGCATTATCTCCGGCATGCATAAGAAAATAAGGAAGACTTCATAACTGAACATAAAACAGTGAGCGTCGGAGTAACTGCTCCTAGAGGTGTTACTAGACAGCAATGTAGGTTTTACTAGCCAGCAATGTGAACACTGCCTTTCTCTTACAATCCAGCTGAGCCTGCAAAGGCATACTATAGACACCAGAACCACTACATTGTAGTGGTTGTGGTGACTATAGTGTCCCTTCAAAGAAGCGCTGTCATTATCTGGGGACTTTGCTCAATTTGCAGTGACATTGCTGCTCGGGGCATGGTGGCCAGGGGCATGTAAAGTTGAGATTATCTGAATCTGTCCCTAGCGGGCGCCACCACCTTGCTTGTGCTGGTCCTCTTCAACAAGAGCCAGGAGCAGTTGTGAGGTCTACGTGAGACAGTAGGATCCTCCATAAACACAGCCAATTCCCTGCAGCCGTCACTGGTGACGGCTTTGGGGTTGACTCTTAGACTCCGCCTTGAGTCTAAGAAAGTCAGGCAGAGGGGAAATACAGAGACTAAGTAGTCCCAACTTTGTCTCTGTATATCTCCTGACTGGGTTGGAATCTTAACGAAGTACTCAATTTTCAGTGTGACAGGGCTGCTTTAAAGCTGCAGCATAGGTAGATTTGGTTATTGATCTGTGAATTCAAAACTGAATATGCAAGATACATGCAAAGTGAAAAATCGTTCCATCTACATAATTTTGGCATACGTTTTAACAGATTTGATGATCAATGCGTTATTAAACAGTTTACTGAATAATAAACCCTTTACAGTCAAATTATTGTGAAGTTTATAAAAACACCTGGCTTGCGAAACTAATTAACTGATTTGTACCGACTTCTGCAGTGTCAGTAAATCTGGAGACATGTTTAACACAAAGGTTGGTATGCAACAGCATTACACTGCAGCATTTCCAAGGCAATCAATTAATAACACAGTATACAAATGGGCAGAACTAATTTGTACTACCATGGGTTTATTCCAGGGGAGGTGGAAACCAGCGGACTCCCAGGTAAGCTGTAGTGGTTATGGCGCTACTTAGAGTGTTCTTTTAACAAACTATTACATAAAAAGATGCTCTTTGTGTCTCATCATCACTTAAATGCATTACAATACACAGTATAGAAAGCAGAAATAGTGTAAACCCTGTACATAACAATATGGATCAACTCGATTGTCAAATAGTTTTTTTTTTTTTTTTTTAGTCAATCTTTGTTTTGTTAAGGCATTGAAGTCACATTACAGAAAGAAAAGTAAGGAGTCATATCAATCATAAATATTGCAAGATAGTAGGTATAATGTATAGTAACAAACGCCTAAGTAGGACTGCCTCATTTATTTATTTGTTGTTGTTTTAGAGAAACAAACGAAGTAAACAAGAGTGGAGCACAATGAAAGTAACTAGTTAGATCACGGATTGAGTACTACGTTAGCAAGCAAGCTAGGATAACTGGGCAGCAGTAGGAACACATGAATAATTAATATTAGTAAGGAGTCTCAGGGCAAATCAGGAAGCGCGTAGCACTGAACATTAGTAGTCTGGCTAAGTGTCATGGTAGTAAGTGGTACTGCTGTGCTTAAGAAAAATGTATACTGTGCCCAGCGCTAGGTCATATACTTTTATTACAGCAAAATCAAAATGTGACGTGCACAAAGTCCTATGCCATCAAAATAAATTGCAATAGTCTGGAAAATTGCTTAAAGAGCTAGTACCCAGATACTAATGGCCTAAAACTACCAACATCTTTTGACTTCAAAACAATAGCAGAAAATTAAAAGAGAGACGGTTAAAGAAAAAACAAATTAATTACATTTATTATTCTCGCTAATAAGTCAAACATATCAAAAAGTAAATTATAGTAAACTGCATTGTATTCATATTTACATTCTTTGGAGGAAGGTAATCCTAGATCTTTATTTTTCTGAATGGTAAAAAATATAGGTAAATTGAGAAACAGCTTGAAAAAGTTTAAGGAAAATTAGTAGATGTTTAGCTTGTTTGTCACCTTTTGGCCTGTACTTAGAAAGTCCACAACACACTGTGTATTAATTACACAGTGTGTACAGATGATGTTTATAAACTGCTGAAATAATGCAGTTGTATGTTACTGACGTCCAGTTATTAATAAAAATGCAAAACAATACATTTCAGCTACAATTCCTAAACGACATTTATTTTCATTTACTACGTAACAAGTCAATACTGTAAATGTGAACAAACAAATTATGGTTACATTAACCATTCATCATTTAAGAGAAGAAAACTTGTCTGCTAGCAGACGAGATGAGCATTTCTGTACACGTAGGGAGTATAAATGATTATTATTTATAAAGCTCCAACAAATAAATGTGTCTAGTATTAAGATTAGTAAATGTTCCACTTTGGCACTACATATTGTTTTATGCTCTGCTAGCATACAGGTTAGTAATCACTGGTGTAGGTTTGATTTCGGCTTGAAATCTGTCAGGAAACACATGACATTGGTAGGGGTTAAATCCTAGGAAACTAAAAAGACATTTCATGTTATTTATTTTACTTAATTTAACTAAAAAAAAAAAATCAATCCCATGATTAATTATCCAAGAAAGCACTTTTGCTACGTTCTATTCAGCACATTCTATCATGTGCTCTTGATAGATCTATCGATACAAGGTACTAACAAATAGCAAAAACCTAAAGAGGGGAACTATTGACCAGATTATAAAATTGTCACAGGTCAAGTAAATCACAACAGCAAGATGCCTAGATACATAAAACTGTAATGTAATGGGCAATGGAGAAACACACATAGAATGTAAAAATTAATGCCCCCTGTAATAAATGCATCTCCTAACTGTAATAGCTACCAAAGAGACTAAGAAGCACCTTCATTGAAGGGTTTTTATTGATATTTGAAGGACTGATAGCCTTTACAAAAAATAGCCTACAGGGCTCTAAGCCACTTAGTTGAAGTTTACCCTCTTCATATGTAATTTGAGATATATTTGGATGGTTGGGGGGATAGGAGGGGGTCTAATCTGCAGGGAGACCTATAATAGATTTCAGAGGGCCCTCCTGTAGGGTGGGATTTTGGTATAAAGGAGGGGACCACTGTCAACTGGGGGGGCTGTTGTTAGGGTCCCTCTATGTCAGTGTAGGCTATAGCAGGATTCACAGCCATCACATGGAAAGGACCACTTACTGCCAGGCTCACCCACCGATAATCACTGTGCAGGTCCCACTGTTACCCCCTCCCTCACTCACACACTCACCTCCACGGTCTGGCCCAGCTCCAGGTCAAAGCCCACCACGCAGATACAGTGCAGCCAGGCGGAGAAGCGGTCCCAGGGAAGGTCCCGGGAGGGATTCAGTAACTCCTCGGGCTCCTCCATCCCTTGCATTGACATGTTTACCGCTCCCAGCCCCCATTCACACCGAAACCACCGAACGTCATCAGCCGCAGCCGCGAGCTGGAGGCGCTGGGTGATGACGCAGTGAGGGCGGATGAAGCAGAATTCGTCGACTTCCTCCAGGAAAGCAGCATCCACTGGATTGTTTAGTAAACAACGAATTGTAAAATGTGTTACTCGGATTTTAATTCGCTGCAGCTCACTGTTTAGTGAATATGCCTACTGGGATTAAATTAGAATCTGACCATTTATGGGTGAAATGGAAAAATCAATCAAGGTATTGATTATTTCTTTGTGTATCTGCCCCTGGCCAAATCAATGAAACAATGCGTGCACGCTCCCTGAAGTAATTCACACCAGACACAGGTTCCAGGTTGTTGAATAACTTGAGGAATGTTTATTCAGAGGGGACGGCAAGTCCTTTTTAAAGTAAAATTACATTATAAGCATTGTCAGAGATAATATGGAATAATACATCAATAATTGGTTAGGTGTTAAGTGGTGTTCCTAATGCTCTGCCTACTAAGGGTGATGTCACCGGGACCATGAGGGTCTCCCATGGTTTCCCAGCGCCATCTTGCTGCACGAGGTAGTTAGTCGGTGTTATTGGGGAGGAGGGGTTAGAGGCTTCTAGCAGCCATTTTGACTAAATATGCTTGTATAGCTTATATACTGTTTTTGTGAGATGAGTAAATAGACATTTTACTAACTAGGAAATATATCAAGACCTTATTTCCACAACAGTCCCCCCTTAAAATGGCTATTTACCATAACAACTGCCACTGCCCCTAGCGTATCCCTAGCTGCCTGCAGCTCATCTGTCTTAACAAGCATCGAACACTTCACTCCGTGGGTAACCCGCGGCGGCTTGTCCACCACATCTCCACACGTGAGACTTGCCCGTAAAGACAGACGCTTTCCCTACGCTGTCCCTACAGGAATGCAGTTGTCTGTTTGAACTGATGAGATTGGAGGGGTGTATGTGGTGTGTCACATTCTAGGTCTGTGGTATCTTGATGTAGGAAAGTAGGGGTCACGTCATCTATAGTCTTCCCTACTGTCTTCTGCAAGTACTTTTGTACACAACGAAGCACACAACAGGTTAGAAATAAGAAAATGATAGTCATTATAAGCAGCATGTCATAGTTTCGGGGAGGATTTTACATACGCCCCCCTTCTCGGCTAAGATCATATCTAGAGCCATTCTGTTCTGGAATGTCATTTGGGTGGTGGCTTGTAATTGTTCTGCCAGGCCCTGTAGGGCATCCCTAGTGTAATTAACAAATCGCTGTTGATTATAATAAATGTAATTGATCCAATTGACATTTTTGTTGGCAGTTATCATTGGAATCAAGGATTCAAATCCTGCTGCCACCTCATCCCTTGCTTTGAATTCACTAGGCACCCCCCTTGGCACACCAATGGCATCAATATATACATGAGGGTCAAAGCTCCCTCGGATGGGGGCTTCCCGTCTGGCTCTGGGATGTACGTATGTGTGGTCTAATGTGTTATGACTAACGTCCGGAATGATGTGAATGGGCATTATAGCCTTGGTCAAGGTACATTCCCCCCACCACTGTCCTACTAGTTGGGACCTCAGCTGTCTAGCGCCACATAACCAATATATGTCCCCAACTGTCTTTGCATGATTCATTAACAGTGATATAGGCGGGTTGTGGTAGGTTGAACAATATCCAGATGGGAATTTGCCCAAATATACACCAGTGTTCTTAGGTATTGAATAACAAGTGTAATTACCTGGATATACTGTGACCCCCATCGGGTGGTCTGACGTGTCCTTGGGTGATTGGGTAAACCTTTTTCCATGATTCACATGTTGAGGAATTTGTGGTGGATTGTGCATAAAGGCTTAAAACACATAATTCTACTTCAGGAGGTAAACTTAAGGGCACTGTACCCAGATGGGGTCTGGCTCCTCCGCATACATAACAATTGGTCTTATTGTGTGAGTTAGCATTGTACCTCATCCATTCTAGCCACAAATATGTGTCTGAGAACCCAGTTTCTACTGCCATGGTGTCTTCAAAGGTGGGGTTGGCTATAGCCACCATGTCATGTAGAGTCTTAATATGTGGTTTCAATGGGTTAATAGTCATGTGAGTGGTTCCTACCCAGTCTGGTGAGGTAAGCATGTCTTGCAGATAAAATGTCCCCAGTTTATTATATGAGCCGCCTCCTCTCCAGTACATTCCCATTACATATTCCCCTGCATCTTTTGGGTTGGGGTGCTCTATGTTTAAGGTAAGTTTGATGGGAGTTGACCCAATAGGTTTACTTAAGGTCATTCTGGAGAGTAAAGGTTTTCCGTCTTTGTCAATTCTGTCTAATGCACTCTGGGGTCTATAGCCCCATGGTCTACCCGTGTTCCACCCAGCTGCTTTCCATGAATGCCCCCAGGTCCCTCCAGTCACACAAATGTATGGATCTTTTTTGTTAGGTATATCCTTGTATATGGCAGCATATTGTGTTTGTGGGAAGGTGCAAGCAACAATGTCACAGTAGTCAAAGGTGTAGGTAGCTACATCTGTGTTAGAAGAATTGTACCAGAAAGTGTAAACATGGTTATCTTTGGTTATGGCCACCTGTTGGGCCCATGCAAATTTTAGCAGCATAAGGAAACACAGAATACACAACAAATTCATGGTTCAACAGGGGTAGCTTCTTCTGGAGCGGGCACTTTCTTGCAATGTGAAGCGTGTATCCAAGAACTCTTCCCGGGTAGCTTAACTGACGTAGCTGTGATTAGGAGCACTTGGTAAGGACCATCAAATCTTGGCTCAAGGGTGTGTTTCCTGAGAAATTTCTTGACCATAACCCAATCACCAGGAAGCAGCTTGTGTGTACCTGTATTCGACTCAGGATCTGGAATAGAAGAAAACACTTGGGCATGGATTTTGGTCAAGGCATGTGAGAGGGCAGTCACATAATCTACCATAGCGTCTGACTGGATCTGAAGTTGTTGAGGAAAGTTACAACCTAGTCTGGGTGCTGTACCAAACAAAATCTCATAAGGTGATAGGCTATATTTTCCCCTAGGAGTATACCTCACGCTAAACAACGCTAATGGGAGACTCTCGGGCCAGGGCATGTTAGTTTCTTGTGACATTTTAAGCATTCTGGCTTTTAAAGTGCCATTCATGCGTTCTACCTTACCACTACTTTGTGGGTGATATGGCGTGTGGAATGCAAGGGTCACCCCCAGTGCTGACCAGACTTCCCGCGTCAACGAGGTGGTGAAGGAGGTTCCTTGGTCGCTTTCAATCACTTCTGGAACTCCGTATCGGCAGACTATTTCCGTCAGAAGGTGCTTGGCCGTAGTCCTTGCAGTGAGATTAGCCACTGGGAAGGCCTCTGGCCATCCTGAGAACATATCCACAATGACTAGTGCGTATTCATAATGTCCACTCTTTGGCATTTGGATGTGGTCAATCTGTATCCTCTGAAAAAGGTATTGGGGCTTGGCCAGGTGATTAGGTGCGATTTTAACAATTTTCCCAGGGTTACATTTAGCGCATATTGTGCAAGATCTACAATAATTCTGTGTCAGAGTAGTAATGCCTGGTTCTTCGAAGTATTTATCAATCAATGAGTTCATCAGATGTTTTGACAGATGGGCTGGCCCATGGGCCCATTGGACAACAGCTGGGTACATATTTCTGGGTAGGCAAAACTTAAGATTGATGGTGTAAACATCATCACGGAGAACAGCTCCTTTATTCTTCCAACTTTGTTTCTCCTGGGGAGTGGCAGCTGTTTGTTGCTCCTTTAGAAGCCTGAGATCCGTAGGTAATGTCTGCATAGTGTAGATAGGTACTGTGTCAGTGGCCACTCTTCTGTCCACTTCCCACCTTTTTCGTGCTGCTTCCTTGGCGGCCTGATCAGCTAAATGGTTGCCCCGTGCTTCCTCTGAATCTAGCCTTCCATGGGCTTTCACTTTCAACACTGCCACCTCTGCAGGAAGCACCAAAGCATCCATCAGTTCTTCAATGGCTGCCCCATGTTTCACTGGAGTACCAGTGGCTGTAAGAAATCTTCTAGTCTTCTAAATTAGGCCAAAGTCATGTGCCACTCCCAGGGCATATCTTGAGTCTGTATAGATATTGACACGTAGGCCTTCAGACAACTTGCAGGCCGCGGTAAGGGCTGTTAGCTCGGCTTCTTGAGCTGACTTGGTTGGTTGAAGGGCGGCTGCTTGTAATACTTGACATCCTGTGGTAACTGCATACCCAGTGTGATACTGCCCCTGTTCATCAGCAAATCTGGAGCCGTCCACAAATAGTGTTTGGTCTGGGTTGAGTAACGCAGCTTCGTACACAGTTGGCAAGTGGGTAGTTTCCATTTTCATTTGTTCAAAACAATCATGAGGAATGTCAGGGTCACATTCTATGGCAAGTAAGTCTTCACAGACTTCTGTGTGGTACCTAGGGTATCCAGCTGTACAGTAGTTGATAGCCTTTTTTGTTACTCCCATAGAGGTCAATTGTTCCTGGGCTGTTTTATTCCAGTACTTGGCCATTGGGCCTAAATCTTTCCACGAAATATCAGGGGATTTAGTGAGAGATATGTGTGGAACAGCTGTTTCCCAATGATGGTAGAGATGCGTCACATTCTCTGGGAGATGTACTAATAGGATCATGTTACCTGTGGAGTCCCATAATAAGTCAGTCAGCGTGATTTGAATTTCCTCAAGTTGAAACAGTTCTTCCTCATAATTCACATCAGGGCCTGGACTATCCTTAAACCACAGGGTGCAGTGCAGCAAATTCTCTGATTGCACATCTTGTGGGGGTGCAAGGGCAGGCAGTTGTAATTCTGCTCGGATCTCTGGATTGATGTCCAAGCTGTACCAGTACTGTACAACTCCCCCCTTGGGAAGTGGCAGAAGAGTGGCCGGATTCAGGGAGAGACAGCATTGAAGAGTAACATTTTCAGGCAACAGTAATGAAGTTTGCAGGCGAAGGCAATGTTGAGACGAGAGATGTTTAGGTTGAACTTGCTGGAGGATTGCAGAGATGTCGTGAGGGGCCAATACT